ACACAATATTTGCAACTTGAAGTTAACCTTTTATTAAATAAATTAAACGCATAATTTTCCATTATGAATTTTTGTCTAAAACTACAGAATTCTTTAAAATCAACGCCGAAAATTATATCGACGATATAAAACCAGGTAAAAGAGGACAACGCATATTTAACATATTTATTCTTATATGAATTTTCATAAATATAGACTTAAATAGTTCTCTATTTGAATTTTCTTCTTAATCTTCTTAGTTGGCAGTGTTTTTATAGCAGCTTCGGTTTTTTGGTGGTCGTGCATAAATGAGCAATTCCGGATTTTCTAAAAATAAAAATGAATAATTAAAATTTTTAAACTATCATGTAGTTCATATCGAGACTCCAAGTCGTGCGGACGATTAAAATATTTCTTTATTACCGTGTTACCGGTTTCTCGAATTAAACAGATAAATGTTAATTTAAAGTGATTAAAAAGCAATCAATTACTAATCGACTTTAAAGGATAAAAATAAATATCAAAAAGTCACCAGGAATTTGACCTAATAACACCAAAAATGCTAAAAGAATTGCCCAAAAAGGGTATAGTAATCCTTACATATACATTTAACGCAATATTAAGGTATAATTATTGGCATAACAATTAAAACATTTCAGAAATACTTTTATTTCCAAAACCAGGAAATGATCCCAGTGAAGTCTCATCTTATCGACGTATCAGTCTAGTATCAACAATCTCCAAATTACTAGAAAAACTTTTAATTAAAAAAATAGGTCCAGGCTTTACTGGCGCACACTGGACTATCCAGCAATACCACCGAATAACCATTAAAATCAATTCCGCACTAGAAGAAATGAAATATTGCCCAATGATATCACTAGATATAAGTCAAGCTTTAGATAAGGTTTGGCATAAAGGATATCTTAATAAAATTAAATAATACCACCATTCTTGAGAATACTTATATCATAATTGAAAACTGACAGTTCACGACAAAAGTTAATGGAGAAATATTCAAAATGCATCTCCTCAAGGCGGGAATTTCACAAGGTAGCGTTCTGGGACCTCTATTATATTTTTTATATACATCTGATCTACCAACTTCAAATAACTTAACAATTGGCACATTTTTAGATGAAACAGTAGCACTCACAAACAATGGCGGCTCGTATCACTTTAAGAAGGTAGTGCCAGAATTCGGGCCACTGCAACTGCCTAAATTTTTAGTGACGGTTCATGATATTGTCAAAAAAGGTATAAATTAGAAATTAAAAAAAATAGGCGCAGATCAGAAAGCTGGAAGATCTAAGCGGTGAGGCACAATTTGGTTTCAAGAGCGGACTGGGTACACGTGAAGCAGATTTCTGGTTGAATACGCTTCAAAACTGAATGGATCAACCAACCAAAGGATATAGTCATAACATTTCTCGATTATGAAAAAGCGTAAACATGACGCAAAGATAAAAATGCTACACAACGCTAACATTGACTAGAAAGATATGAGTTATCCAGAATCTCTATTGGAATCAAAAAGCACGAGTAAGACTGAACAAGTCAACCAACACAGAAGAATTTGAAATTTTAAGAGGGGTGCAACAGGGGTGTATTATAGATAGAGATTGGCAGATACCATCTGCTACCATCTCTACATAAAGAACCAACAACGATTTTGGAAACGTATTCTGTCAATGATGTATTGATCTGCAGAGTATTGGGTTGTTTGTGGCCTACACTGATTAGTATTTAAGTGCAGTTTCAAAGCAGTTTGATTTATCTGAAGGCGTTATTTGAAATTAAATTAAAATCATGACTGGTTTAAAATCAAATCGTTATACACGTCGAATCTGAGTAATTTCTCTAACTACACAGGACCTGAATTGTCTGCTAGTTTCCTGAATTATTAATAACTTTACGGTAAGTATGATGTAATGTGAAAGTCCAGGTTATCCAATAGAACCGTTAGCGTGGTTGACTTCCTAATAGGACGACTTTTTTCAGAAAAGAACCAATCCACAAAAATGAGATTTTCTATTATAAAATTCTTATTGTAGTACGGGTCATATACTTTACTCCAAAAAAGATCCAACTCCAAAAAAGATGCTTGCAAAGGGGATCCAAGCGGTTTGGTTCCTTTCTGCAAATCGGCTTAACAGTTACAGCTTCTTCTTCTTACGGTGCCTATCCGTTACAGATGTTGGACACTAACATGGCTATTCTGACTATGTTGACTGCTTCCCTGAAAAGTCCTTCTTCTTCTGGTAGCACTACAACCCGGGGTGGGTCTTGGCTGACTGCACAACCTGCTTCCATCTCGAACGGTCGTCCATGATGTTTAAGTCAGTGGGTAGCCCCATTGTTCTCAAATCTGACCATATATTATCTCTCCATCGCATTCGTGGACGTCCTAAGGGCCTTCTCCCTGTCGGGACTTCTTCCCAGATTAACTTGGTAAGGCGGTTATTAGGGAGCCTATGAACATGGCCAGCCCATCTTAGACGTTGGGATTTAATCTCTTGGACTACGTCGCTAGCACTATACATTTGTTTGACCTCGGCATTTGTTCTCATTCGGTATTGGTTAGTATTCGGATCGTGATAGGGACCGAAGATCTTTCTGAGGATTTTTCTCTCAAAGCATCTGAGTTTACTTTCCATTGCTTTTGTCAGCGTCCACGTCTCACACCCATACATGAGCACCGGTCTAATTACTGTTTTATATATCCTGATTTTTGATGTTCGTGTTAGGCTCTTGGATTTAATAGTGTTGTGGAGGCTATACATACATCTGTTTGCTGCCTGAATTCTCCCTTTTATCTCTTCCGTGATATCGTTATCTGTGGTGATAGTCGCTCCGAGATATTTAAAACTCTCCACTCTTTCAAAGTTATAGGGGTCTATTGTTACATTTTGTCCTATTCTATCTCGTCTCTTTTGTCTGTTAATGCACATATATTTGGTTTTCTCTTCATTGACCCTTAGACCGGTATTTTTTGCCTCTCTCTCTAATTTATTGAAGGTTTCTTTTACATTGGTGACGGTATTTCCTACAATGTCAATGTCATCCGCGTATGCTAGTAGTAATTTTGGTCCATTTACTGTCAGTAGTTCTGTTCTAATTTGTGCGGTTCTTACTACTTTTTCCAGGATTATATTAAAAAGAAGAGGTGACAGCGCGTCTCCTTGTTTCAGTCCACTGTTTATTTCAAACGACTCTGAGAGCTTGTTACCTATCCGCACTCTAGATCTACAGCCATTTACACAAACTTTAACGAGCTGGATAAGTTTTTTTGGAACTGAAAGTTCTGCCATTGCATTCCACATCTGATCCCTTTTAATGCTGTCGTATGCTTGTCGGAAATCTATGAAGAGATTATGAATGGTTCTATTGAATTCCCATCCTTTTTCAAGCAGCTGCCTGAGAGTAAAAATCTGATCTATGGTCGATCTATTTTTTCTGAATCCGGCTTGGTATTCCCCTATGAAATTTTCTACAAAAGGTGTTAGTCTACTTAATAGGATGTTCGATAAGATTTTGTACGCCGTATTAAGTAGGGAGATGCCTCTATAGTTAGAGCACTTGGTTTTGTCTCCCTTTTTATGGATAGGAATTATTACACTTTCGTGCCATTTTGTTGGTATTTTCTCTTCGTTCCATATAAGTGTTATTAGTTTGTGTAATTGTCTATGTAAAGTTTCTCCTCCGTACTTAAGAAATTCGGCTGGTAAATTGTCAGAGCCTGGAGCTTTTGCGTTCTTCATTACTTCCGTGTCTAGCATCAACAATTATGTGGTCAATTTGGTTCCGTGTGGAGTTGTCATTAGAGACCCAAGTCTGTTTATGAATGTTTTAATGTTGGAACATAGTAGACTTTACAAGCATATTGTTAGCCGATGCTAGCTCTACGAGCCTTTGTCCATTATCGTTTGAGATATCGTGGAGACTGTGTTGTCCTATTGTCGGTCTTAGGTTAAGTTCTTTGCCAATTTTTGCGTTGAAGTCTCCGCAGATTATTTGCATGTCTTGTTTGGGAATTCTCTCCAGCGTTCTTTCGAGTTGCTCATAGAAGTCATCTTTGATTGTTTCTTCTTTATCTTCTGTCGGAGCATGTGCGGATATAATTGAGATATTGTACAATTTTCCTTTCAGTCTAATATAACACAGTCTCTCACTGATGGGCGTAAAACTTATAACACTGTTTAAGTATTCTTCTCGGACCACGAAACCTGTGCCGAATTCATGTTTTCCTATCTGGTTTCCACTGTAGAAAATGACCGCCTTGTCTATTCTTATGTTTCCATTGTCCGGCCACCTTATTTCTTGTATTGCCGTAATGTCCATTCCTACTTTGTCTAACTGTTTTACTGCGTGTATGGCTGCTCCTGTCCGGTACCAGCTTAAAACGTTCCACGTTCCAACATTCAAAGTCCTTGTCCATTGCGATTGTCGTTTTACATATGTATCTGTTCGATTCCGAGGCACATTTGAGTTTTCATAACAGGCTGTTTTTTACAAGGGCAGGTTGTTGGCCTTCCCCTTAACCCTCCTCCTTTATCCGGGCTTGGGACCGGCAAGAATGACTGTTAAGATACTCGATCCACCCAACAGTCATTCCAGGCGGAGTTCCTGAAAAGTCCGGTAGTGGTTAAGTTAAACATTTTCGCAGGTTATGCAGCCAGGATATCCTTCTTCGTCCTGGACCTCTTTTCCCATGCACTTTACTTTGAAGTATGGTCCAAAGTAGGTCATATCGTTGTTCATTGTGCATTATATGGCCCAGGTATTCCAGTTTACGACGTTTTATGGTTACGACTAGTTCGCGTTCTTTACCCATTCTATGTAGTACATCTTCGTTGGTAACTCTGTCTATCCAGGAAATCCTCAACATGCGTCTATAGCACCACATCTCAAATGCTTCGAATCTCTTCAGTGATGCTTTAGTTAAGGTCCATGCTTACTAAATCTACAAAATGACCATAGTAGGCCATATCTAATTAATATATAAAAAGTTTATGAACTGGTCAAAATACATATACAATTACCTTAAATTCCTTTAACATCTTGTCCGGAAACATTTCATGTGAAACTTTCTCTTCGTTCCAACAAGTCTGGCAAATAAATATAATGTGGTCCTTTTGCCAGTAATCACCTTCGCAGAGTTTTTCACATTTTTGGCACCTGTCGACGGGCTTATTTACACAGAACATCTCGACTGCGTTCAAGACTTCCGGGACTCCGAAATTATTCATAACTTTGGTTCTTCTACATGTCTTTTTGCTAAGGTTGTAGGTACCTGGACTAAAAAATTAAGGAATATAACCAAAGAAGGAAAGAATTTATCACCACAGCACTGCTAAAGCATCAAGACTAATATCTTATACGATTTTTGTGTTCATTCTCAATCTGTCATCGGATTTTTCCTATTACGTATAGATTTTTCACAAATCGCCATCTAACTTTTGTACAAAAAGACAGGTATGCTTTTGGTAGCTATCGTTAATAACTGAAAATATTAAGACGAAGAAAATAAAAAAAAATCATTGGTTACAAGTTAACTCTCTGTTTTAATTATCTACAACTATTACACAAATTAATATAATTTTATTTGACATTAAGTCAAAAGAAACTTCCTCTTTATTGAGTTTCTGAATGTAGATTCCTCTAGATTACAGTCTTTTTAGGTTTCAAAGGTAGTCAGCGATCATGGTACAATGAACATAAGGTATGATACATAATATTTCAAAATCGGTTCGCTTTCGCGCATGACGTAATCCAGACCGCCTATTCCCGCAACATTTGAAGTAAAAACTTTTATTTTAAGTTTTTTTTTTATATAATTTGGCTAAATTTAATTATAGTAACTATAAAGACATGATAAAATTATGTTATTATAATATTTAATCATAAATAAAATTTTTAAGTTAATTTAAGTTTATTGATTTTTAGTACAGTTATTTTGTTAACATAGTTATCCTTTATAAAACAATTTTTAATTATCTTTTATTACACGTAGGTACAGGTTAATTAGCTTATATACTAATACTTAGTAGTGAGGTCACACAATATTTTATATATTTTAATATTTTAAATGACATCTTTTGTCATATTCACACATAAAATTATCTTTGTATTGTTTATAATACTACCATGCATGCAGATAGTTGTGATGCGTATGGTGTGAGATTTATTTATCATTTTCTTATGATAAAGGTAGGTAAGTAATATCCTTTTGGAATAATGTAAAACATTATACCTGCTGAAAAGAAAAGTATGCTTTTCTTTTCTAGGTATAAAGATGGGTTGTTTCATGCATTAATATTTTTTATTTTTCAGGACTAATAATTAATAAAAATAAAGATTTAGACTTACGTCGTTGACTTAGAAGCAGTAAGAAGCTGCTCAACATACTTTTTAGACTTTCTATGTTCGGCTCTTTGTACGCGTTTTTTTTTTGGTTGGTTGAAACGGTAGCCGATTTTGATTGAGTCAAATAAAGACTAGGTACTGCCTCAGGTTTGAGTTTTAGACCGTTGTTAGAAACGTAATTTAAAAGTACCTCTTATAGATTTCTTTCGTAATCTTCAGTTTTAAAATGTATAGAACAAATTCTTGCAGTATTATAATTAAAATTATCCTGTCTACAACAAGATATTATCAACAGTTTTCTGGTCAAACTATCTTTAGGAAATGTATGAAACCTAAAGATTTTAATTAATATTTAACTGGGAATAAAACGATATTCCGAGGGGAGATTGAATTACGTCAAATAAATCGTATTAAATACACCTTTAATTGTGGCTTATTCCCAGTTAAATATTAATTAATGTAAAATGCCACAAGAAAATAGCTTTAGAACAATACTAAAGATTTTATCTTCATTGTCACTATTGCAATAACAAGCAACTTCACAGCGCATTTTGAAAAAGGTACAAAACCAGATATACAATGACAAATAAAAACTTTTAGTTTTACAAAAAAATACTATACAGTATAAATAAACAGTAACTCAACACCACAAGTACACACAAGTCTCAGACACAGGCGCGCCTTATTGGTAATTTTTTACGCGCTCGTCTGGGATACGGGCGCCGGTTAAATTTCACCCATCAAATTTTTTAAGCCTTTGCGATGTGGATATTTGTATAAAGAGACATAAATATGTAAGCATATATCTAAATTATTTTTTTATTATCAAATAGATGACTCAGTCAATTTGCATCGTCACCATTGCTAACCGATATTATTGTCGAACTTTTGTTTTTATACAAGCCTTCTGTCTTGTCGGTGTAAAGTCGTCTGAAGTCGATATTTATTGTGTTTTGCGTTTGAACTAATTTGTGCCTTATTTTCATATTATATTGTTTGGTAAGTAAATTTTGTATATAATAATCGGTACTTAGGTTATAGTAATGTGTATATTTTTTATTTTACTAAATTTCATTATAACTCATCTAAAATACCATATTGAATTATAAATCAGATTTTTCTTTATTGTAATCTATTTTGTTTTTACTTCAGTAAAACTGCTTGGAAATGAGTGACAGTGAATCAGAATACGCAAATCTACTAATATTTACCTATTCACAGTATTTCCTCTGCACAAAATTTTTAAATTTCAACGGATTTGCATACAAAAAGAGTGCTTATATTATTAGTATATGTATGAAAACAAAAATAGATATTTCGCCTGAATCCACAGGAAAAGTAAAGGTTTACGCTACTGAAAATATATTTTTTATTCAATTATAACCAAAACAAAACATTAAAAAAAAATCGATCATTTTTGACCATAATTTCAAAATTCATGTGTACGTTAAGCTGTAATAATGGGTTCGAGCCATTCGAGCGTCTTGACTACGTCACACTCCTGGGCCAGCTGTCAAATGTCATGCGCAATATCATACCTTGTATTCATTGTACCATGGTCAGCGATCATAGTAGTTTTTCCTGCCTTAATAACTTTGCTCTATTAATTTAATATGTTGATGGAACCTCTCCCCCCTGTTCTTCGTTATAATCTCCCAAATTATGGATACTCTACGGACTATGCATATTATACGGCCCTATTAATTTTTTACTGCTTTTAAACGAGTGTAGTAAATTATTCAGAATATACGTTTTGAATTTGCCGCTAAATGTTTTAGTTCAAGGCACGGATGCGTGAGTGGCTGGAAACTCACTTTCTACTTCTCCATACATGACATAACATGCTAGAGAGGTGTGTGCCGTGGCTTGTGCTGTCAATATTTTCATCCGTATACCTATATAATTTATATACCTATATAATTTCATCATCATAAGTTTCTAGACAATCCGTTGTGCATCTTGGCTGCGCACAAAGAAGTCGCCACTCCTGTCGATTCCTGGCAACTTCACTCCATCTTCTGACCCTTAGAATCTATAGGTCTTCTTCCACATCATCAATCCATCTCCTTCGTGGTCGTCCTCTACTTCTCGTGCCTCTGGTTTTGAAAATGTTAATCTTTTCGTGTATTCGTGATCTGACATCCTAACGTCCGTGTGTCCAGACAATCTAAGTCTGCACTTTAACGAATTTCACAATATCTGGATCGGCGTATAACTGATATAATTCATAGTTGTATCTTCGACGCCATAGCCCATTTTTATTTACGGTCCAAAAATCTTTCTTCTAAGAATTTTTCTCTCAAAAATACCAAGAAGTCTTTCATCATTTTGAGATAAGGTCCACGTTTCAGCCCATATATCAAAACCGGTCTTATTAAGGTCTTGTCTGCACGTTTTATATTTTTATTTTTTAAATGTTTCTGGAGACCGTGAACAGTTCTGTTTGCTATTGCTATGCATCTTTTTATTTCGTCGCTTGTCGTTTTTGTTGCGTTTACTAGCGATCCAAGATATGTAATTCTTTGACTTGCTCAAAGGTATGGTTGTTAATTTGAATTCTCTGTTGGATATTTCGGGGTTTTTAGAAACCAACATATATTTGGTTTTTTCCTCGTTTAAGGCAAGTCCTAATTTACTTGCCTCGTCCGCAAGCCTTGTAAAACACTGCACCGTGTCTCTCAAACTTCTGGCCACTATAACTATATCGTCAGTGAATGCGAGAATTAAAAATAGTTCCATTATTCTAAATTTAATGCCTATTGCCTTTTCAAGGTAATATCAAAGACGAGACACGCCAGCGCGTCCCCTGTCTTAGACCATTATTAATGTCAAAGAACGTAGAGTTTTCTTCTTCAATTTTAACGCATGAGCTTACGTTTTGCATTGTTAGTTGGATTCACCTAACTTAGGTGGGATTCCAAAGTCTATCATTGCATTACCTATATAATGCAGTTCTTTTCACACTGTCATTAGGGTGCTTTGAATTCCACGAAGATATGGTGTATATCTATATCAGTGTCGCCAACTCTTCAATGTGTTGAGCTACTTTGTTAATTTTGGAATAAACAGCGAGCTACCCACACGGAAGCCACGTAACGCAACGTAAATGAAATAATCCACAGTTAATCTATCATTATATGTATTTATTTTACTGTTTAACTGGTAATACATAATACATAGGTACTAATAATAAACTAATAACAAAATAACTAATATTACTAGTACGTACTTGTTCATAGCTACATTCCTACCTATCAAACGAAGGTATTTGAAAAATAAACACAAACTTTTATCCAGCCACAACGGCATGTCACGTATGATTTAAAAATAGTTAATAATAACAACAAAAAAGTAACGCACTATCATAAACATAAACATTGAAAAATAAAAAAGCACGTTCAATGAGAAGGCTGACACTCAGACTCATCGATAATTTTTTTAATGTTTGCAGTATAATTTGATGCAGCCATTCGAATACAATTATCCAAATGTTCATCTGTAAGTCGATTGCGATATTTGTTCTTAATAAACTTCATATTGGAAAAAGAAGATTCACACAAATAGGTTGAACTGAATAATGCTTTCACTTTCAAGGCAACACGGCATAGAACTGAATATTTGTCTTTACTTACAATAGGCCAGATACATTCAGTACTTGAGACTAACGATTTTAAGGCTAAATCATTTTGAAACTCAATGACTTCCATTTCTGTTGCAGCGATGTCTTCGCCAAAGTTCTGCATAACACAAGCTGCAAACTGCTGGATATCAATTTCCATAAAGGGTGAAACAACAAACTGCGCTACTAAAGCCATTTCATTGAAATCCTTAAAACGATTTTTGAAGTTACTCTTCAGGGTAGAAATTATTTCTACATGATATTTGTTGTCATAGGGTTCTAATGGATTTTGAGATATTTTTTCTGAAAGAATAGGAAAATGCTTGGAATCGCTGTTAATTAGATTTTGTTCCCAAAATAATCCAGCTTTTTGATAAATGCTTTTATATCAGAAATCATTTCCGCTAGTTCTTTGTCTCTCCCCTGAAGCTGCAAATTAAGTTCGTTTAATTTCTCTGTAATGTCCACAAGAAAACCAAAATCTCTAATCCAGATTGAATTTTCTAGTTCCGCAGTCGGTTCATCGCGTTGTTTAAAAAATTGGACTATGCCAGATAAGACATCATTAAAACGTTTCTGCACCCGTCCTCTACTTAACCATCGGACTTCAGAGTGAAGGAGTAGGTCCCCGTATTGACAGTCAACTTCATCGCCCAAGGTTCTAAATAATCTTCTTTGTTACGCTTGAGCTCTAATCTTGTTCACAATTTTTACCACCAGTTTTATAACGTTGTTTAGTTTCAGGAAATTTCCACATAATGCTTACTGATGGATAATGCAGTAGTAACAGAAAAATTGCGGAAAAGTTTCATCTTTACGACATAACGCCACCAGACCCTTATCACAACCCACCATAGCTGGAGCGCCATCGGTTGTCAAGCCTACCATTTTCGATATTGGAATTTTCTCGGAAGAAATAATATTTTTTAAATAAGAAAACAACTCCTGTCCAGTAGTGTGTCCTTTCAGTGGAATGAACTTCAAAAGATCTTCTTTAATCGTAAAATCACTAAAAACCATCCTGACGAACACGGCCATCTGGGCAGTACCAACGACATCTGTTGATTCATCCAGTTGAAGTGAAAAATAAACACAGTTATATAAGTCATTTCTTTACTGTAAAAAAATATCATTGCTCATTACTTCTACACGTCTCATCACTGTATTAGCAGAAAGTTGCATAGATTTTATAGCTGAAACTATCTCGTCTTTAAAGTTGGCAAATAGCGAATCAGCAGCTTCTAAAAACGCCTGTTTTATCATTTCCCCGTCTTCATAAGGTTTCTTTTTTTGTGCAATTATCTGGGACACACGGTACGATGCTTCAGTTGCAGTCTTATTTTTGTCGACTGTTCTTAAAAATATTGAGTGTTGTCCAATTAACTGTTTTTTAACTGTTTTCAGTTTCTCCTTTCTGGCGGCAGAATGTAGTGGGAATGATTTTTCAAAATTAGAATGTACAGTTTTATGATGTCTCTCAATATTTCCATTTTTAGCAACGGAGACCGAAGTATTACATACCAAACACACATTTTTATCTTAAACTTCTGTAAAAAAGTATTGTTCTTCCCATTCCGAATGAAAGTGGTATGTCTTTACCTTCTTACAACTGCTTGCCCTAATATTATTTTTGTTGTTCTCTAGTAACCCAACCGCTGGACGTTGGTTACGCGTTCAGTTTTAAACTAAGCCGCGCCGTGCGTATTTATCCCGTTCAAAGCAATCCAGATCGTTCTCGAACACTAACGCGCTGGTCCGGCTGGTCGGTTCTATAAATAGCCGATTCTAGCTTGACGGCGTCAGGGGCAGATCGCTCACCGCAACGTTGCCGCTGTTTATGTTTAATATTATGACAATAAATTTTTTTTGTGGAATTTTCGTAAGCTTATCTGATTTTTGCAGTTGGTATTTTTTTAAATTAAAATCGTTGTGAGAGCTACCAGAATTACCTCCGCGAGCTACCGGTAGTTCGCGATCGACAGGTTGGCGACCACTGATCTATATTATATTCTAGTGACTTTTCTAGAATCTGCCTATGTGCTTGAATTTGATCTGTAGTTGATTTTCCAGTAGTAAATCCGCGTTGATATAGACCAACAATATCCTTTGTAAAATATTTAAGTCTTTAAAACAATACATTGCCGAAGATTTTATACGCAGATGCTAACAGAGTAATGCCTCTACAGTTCTTACACTCTAGTTGATCACCCTTTTTATGCAACGGAGGTATTATTCCCTTTAGCCACTCTTCTGGTACCAATTAATTCTGCCATATAAGTACTGTTAGTTTATGGATTGCTGCAAAAAGTTGATCACACCTTTTTTTATAAACTTCCGAACAGATTTAATCAATTCCTGGAACTTTATTGTCTTTGAGTTTTACGATGGTGTAAATGAATAAAGAATGGGAGCGTTATGTGAAGTTATGGAAAACGCTGTCACCAAATGAAATACACAATAGATCCTCATGGGATGCTAACCCTGCGAGCGGCTGCAAGGAATACTGGTCACACTGGTCTGGAGGGCTGGCTCGTCTTCGTGGATTTACGAGAAGATAAGGGATTTCGGGATAGGGGTAAGGACTCCTAGGTCTCAGGTCCTGTAAAGAGCAGAGGTTATGGGCTTACTTTTGAAGCCGGAGATATGCATACGCAGAATCTCGTGTTCTCCTAGTCTCTAGTGAGTCGGACGAAAGGAACATTAAAAAAAAACCAAATTAGAGTCAACAATATATTGAATCTACCCTGAAGTTACTAATACAATCGTTAACCCGTTATTCTGCGCGTCGGGAGACGATGTAGCAAGATAGTGAAGAGTTGACAGTGGTACTAATATAATTACCCAGGTAAGTATAAGAAATCTGTTACCTTATGTGTATATTAGGGCTTCAACCACGACACGTTCAGTCTTCTGGAACTCGGTCAGTTGAGGGTTGCGAACTTTCGAGCTGCCACAATAACCGGACTACACGCGATACTATGTCAGATGATACGCGGCCCCCGGAGAATCACCGATTGTCTACTGACTGTTCGCGTACGGGACGCTGTCGCGTCCCAGTCACGGTGGCCCGCTATTACTGACTGCCCATTACCAACTGCTCGTACCCGACGCTACCGCGTCGAGCGTACCCGGAGCAGGCAATTGGTGCCTGGACGCCCGCCGTATCACCACTAATGACTACTCATTACTAACTGCTTCGTACCCGACGCTACCGCGTCGAAAGTACCCCGAACAGGCAAGCGATGCCTTCACGGCTACCGCCGTATCACTACTAATGACTGACTACTGACTTGGCTGTCCCCGTTTTCCAGTTTTTATCGAGCTCATGTTTTCAATACCGGTTATAGTGCCAAGGTCGTGTTTTCGTTGAATTGTGGGTCCTATATTGCATTACAATAACAGTTTTTTGTTTGACGTGCTTTTCTATGTTTAAACAATTAACAAACAATGCAATAACTAGGTCAATTTCTTTGTGTGATTTAAAATGCAAATTTTACTGTAATAATTATCCCTTATTTGATTCGGAATATATAATAATTATCTCGAATAATTATTATCTTTTTCGATGCTACTTCCTTTATCCCAACTTCTCACTCACTTGCTACGCTCACATTACAATGGCATTTGACACTTCTTCTCTTGTTGGGTCTTCACTATGTAGTTAACGTTGTAGATTTCGTTGATTGTTTGCGTTATAACCTCCTTCAATATCCTTTATATTTAGATGTTCGCTAAAATGTTGTTGTGTGTCTTTACACATTTTTAATCGTGTTATAAATTCTCAACGGCTATTAGTTAAGGATTTATGTAGTATTTTCTCGTTTAATTTTTATCGAATAAACTTTGTATCTCATTGAGAGTGTTTTGTTCTTGTTACCAAGATGGATACATTTTTCCTCTCTTCTAAGACGTCTATACTCTTCTTTTCTTTTTTTCTCCGTGTACGTGTACCTACATAATTTACTATTAATTAAAAGAGTGAACTTATAACTTACCCAGGATTTGAGTTGTCTTTATGTTTTTTAAATTTTCTCGATTTAAAGGACGAGGTACCACTTTTGTCAAACCTCGTTAAAAATTTACATGTACTATATCGTCCTGGAGAAGGTATTTGACATCCATCGGTTTCTTTGAATCTACAAACTTTACTACATAAAGGGTAAGTTCCCACTTTACTTCTTATCTGCAACAGATTGTAAGTAACATTGAAAAGGGAAGCATAAAAAGGTTATTCTAATGTCGTACAACGACATTACGAAGAAACGAAGAAATAAAAAACGAAATAAAAAATAATGTGAATGTTAATATGCAAAAAACACTAACTGACAACAAACAAATTATGGATGTAAATAAAAAGTGGTGTAATATAAAAAACACATTACTGAAACCAGCTCAAGAAAGTTTAATAGAACATAAATCAGAGGCTAAAAAAACACTGGATGACAGAAGAAATACTATTACTGATGGAAGAAAGAAGGAAATATAAAGGAAAAGATCTACAGAAGTATAAAGAAATACAACGAATAATTAAGGAAAAAATCAAAACAGCTAAGGAAATCTATTTAATGAAGCAATGTAAAGAGATAGAAAAACTAGAAACAAAATATGATATGAGAAATATGCACAAAAAAATTAGAGAAGTGACTGGAATGGGTCGAAATAGACAGCAAGGACACATAAAAGACAAAAAAGGAGTACTACTAGTAGATTTACCAGAGAAGTTAAGGCGATGGGAGGAGTACGTTAGAGAACTTTTCCAAGATGAAAGAGGTGAAATGAAGAAAATACAAGAATTAAATCCTTTAGAGATACAGAAGATCACGATAGATGAAATCAAATATGCTATCAAAAACTCTAAAGACAATAAGGCAGCTGGATTAGATGAAATACCAGTAGAACTCTTAAAACTAGTGGAAGAGGACAACTTGGAAGTATTGGCAGATTTATTCAACACGGTGTACGATACGGGAATAATACCACAGGAGTGGCTAAAGTCAGCATTTATAACCATCCCTAAAAAACAAGCAGCAAAAGAGTACTCTGATTATCGAACACTGAGCCTCATGAGTCATACTTTAAAAGTTCTGCTAAAAATAATACATAAGAGAATATACGAAAGGCTAGAGGAGGATATTAGCGAGACGCAGTTCGGGTTCCGAAATGGAATGGGTACTCGAGAAGGACTATTTGCCATCAACATATTAATTCAGCGATGTCGGGATGTGAATGTTGATCTACACTTGTGCTTCGTTGACTACGAAAAAGCTTTCGATAAAGTAAGACATGAAAAACTAATATCAATACTTATGAACAAGCGCATTGACAGTAAAATCATAAATATAGTGCAAACATTATATTGGAACCAAAGTGCCATAGTTCAAATTGATGGGCAACACTCAGAAGAAATGAAGATCTGTAGAGGAGTTAGACAGGGATGTGTGTTATCACCACTTTTGTTTAACTTATATTCTGAAGAAATTTTCCACAACACGCTCAATAATATCGAAGCGGGAGTCACCGTTAACGGAAAATTAATTAATAATTTAAGATATGCAGACGACACTGTGATCATAGCAACGAGTATAGAGGATCTACAACATCTTACCGAAAGCTTGAGTATAAATAGTGCTGAGATGGGAATTACTATAAACGCCAAAAAAACGAAGTACATGCTGATTACAAAAAGGCCACAACATATACATCACCTATTGACAATAAATGGTAACGTGATAGAACAAGTAGAAAAATATCAGTATTTGGGAACTTTGATCAATGAAACCAATGATCATACTGTAGAAATAAACAGACGAATAGAGATTGCCAGATCAGCATTTATACGAATGAAGCCATTCCTAACGTGCAAAAATCTAAATTTGGAGATCAGACTACGTACCATTCGCTGTTATATATTTTCAATATTATTATATGGAGCTGAGACTTGGACATTAAAAAAATGTAATTTAAAAAGAATCGAGGCCTTCGAACTCTGGTTATACCGCAGAGTATTGAAAATATCATGGACTGATAGAATTACAAATAAAGAAGTACTGGAGAGGGTTGGTAAAGAAACAGAACTAATCACCACTATACAAACCAGAAAACTGGAATACCTAGGCCACGTGATGAGGGGACCAAAATATGAAATTTTGAGACTCATAATACAGGGAAAGATTCAAGGAAGAAGATCTGTTGGCCGAAGGCAGAACTCATGGTTAAAGAATCTACGCGATTGGTACCAATGCAGATCGATTGATTTGTTTAGAGCAGCAAGTTCTAAAATAAAAATAGCCATTATGATTGCCAACCTCCGTAGGGAGACGGCACTGTAAGAAGAAGAATGTCGTACAAAATTTTATGCAAAAATTAGTATTGAAGTGTTTTGGATGTCCCTTTCCCCAACATAAGATGAGATTCAAACTTCCAAGTGGCTCCGATATAATACTCCGATAAAATAAAAGACTTAGATTAATGAATCTTCATCGAAGCATGGTATAGTTCGGTTATGAAGTAATATTGTAGACTGGGAGTTACGTAATTTATTTTGTTTGAGTATAGTTAATTTTATAAACATTTTTTAAGACAACAATTTGTTTTAAAATAGCTCAGATTAAATAACTACTTTGCTATGTTGAGTATACTTCATCTAATTTAGATAACGACTTACGTCATTATCTACGTCAGAGATCGTAGTTGACATAGTTGCCAAAGTATAAAAAAATCCTGACTCCATTGTAAATCAAATAGATTACATAATTATTGCAAAAGTATTACCATCTCTTTACAACGACTATTTAAGTTCTTACGTGACATTTTTGAAATAAAACACACTAATTTTGTTCTAAAAAGAACAAATTTTATTAAATAGTTAAAAATATAAAACAAGAGATATTCACTTTAAAATTCAAAATAATGAAGTACAAAAAGTGTCAACACCGCAACTGTCAAATAAGTGTTACCAATTTATGCCAAAATTTTAGCTTTGTTCGATTACAGTTACAGTGTGTTTCGAACAAATGTTCTTGATAAAAACGCTTTATAATGCATTTATACAAATTAAATGAAACATATTATTGTGTATTTCTTTAAGTTAACATTAATAGAAATTTTTAAATATTATTTCTACGCGTATATAATAAAATATGTCTAGTGGGTGTAATGCCAGTGTACTCGGTAAAGTGATTCTAAAAAAGAACACACCTACACCCTAAATATTTTGTGTTGGTATCATGTGACGTCACAGGCTATGACGCCGATGACGTGCATCGTTATATAAATTAGATGAAGTGTATGTACGTTTAATGCGTAGGGAGAGCAAGGTCTGCACTGAGGTGAGATATTTAATTGTACGTAGAGAGCGCGCGATATTGTCCTAACTTAGGACGAGAGAGTATCTGATAGCGGCTTTCAAAGAAAGGGGAGATTTTACCATTATCATATGAGAAAAACACTCCAATTTTTTTCTTTTTAGGATATTCCTAATCTCTCTCTGCTTAGACTTTGTAAAACGGTTTGAAACTTTTATTTTTAATAACTTTTTACATGGTGCATATTTCTCTAAAAGCTGCACATAAATAGAAAGTTTAATCCTATTTTGACAATTAACTATTGGGAAATATGGAAAAATCTTTCTTTTTCATTTAGTGAACAAACAATAAACAAAGATCTTTTCGTCGTTGCAGAATCACAAGCCCACAGTTTCTGTGTGATTCTTAAGTACCAATCTAATTTTTCTTCTGGATTTCTGTTATATCTTTTACTTTTTTGTACTTATGGAGGCCGTAGTATTTTTCTCGAGTTAGCTAGAGGTGAATATCATTATTAGAACCAATGGAAAATAAGTGTATATTTAGTAATAATCGTTAAGAAAATAAACTTCAATAAGAAGAAACAACTGAGGTTAAAAAAATCGAAAAAAAAATTGTTCAAACAAAAAAAAAGGATACTACAGTACAAGGTGTTCCTATAATCATACCTTATTATTTATTGGGTATAGTGCTGACGTTATAAGCTCAGTTTTGTAATATGCTGGTCCAATTTTTGGAAAGAGTTCCTTAACTTGTGTTTTCTGATAAGAGGACAGTCCTTTGCCTATCGGACTGGTACGTCTTGGAATTGTGGTACCAAAGCATATTCTAGCTTCTTTTTTAACCTCTACAATATACTCGAAATCTGAAAGTACAAAATAGAAAAATCTACAAAATTTATAGTTCAGAAATTTCTTGTCGACAGTCTGATGACTCTCACATCGAACACACACAAATGCAGCATCAACGTAATACAACGATTTTTCATATTAAGTTTTTTGTGTAAAGTAGAGAGTACTCTTTTATGACATAGACATATGTCTATTCTTTCCCGATATTTTTATTTTTCCATATTGTTTCATTCAGGAATCCTGCGGCTATATTTGCTCTATTTACTTGATTTTCCATTTCTGTTTCAAGCTTTCTGTAGCTAGATAGTGTGATGCCTATAGTGCGATTGTAGATATTTTTTAAACTCCATCTATTCTCTTATTTGACTTTTCAGCTCCAATTTATATCGTGATAGATTTGCTGTTACAACCATGCATTTTGTCTTTTTTGAGTAAATTTTAACGTGTTAAATTTTCTGGCGGTTATATTAAATGGCGGTTCCTATTTGAAGAGAGGTATTAGGATGATTGATTTCTTGTAGTATGCTGTTATGTTCTATTACTTTTCGGACTAGTTTTAATAATTATTTGGTCAGATCTGGTCATCTGTACTTTAGGAGTTCATTTGATATTCTGTCCTCTCCTGGTGATATTCTATTTTTTAATTTCGTTAATGCTTCCTTTTTAATAATTCCGGAGTAAGTCCTCGATCGAGTCTCCGGGGAGGACAGTTTAGAGTTTACTAAAAGATAATAAATTGAAATATTGTTCTGAAGCAATTTTCTTGTGGCATTTTAAAGTAATTACTATTTAAATGGGAATAAGCTACAATTAAAGGATAAAGTACGTTTATTGACATTTCAATTTCCACTTCGAAAATCCTTCTCAAAATACAAACATTAATAAATTAAACAAATTTTGTTTTTTTTGTTACTTAGTGAAAAATTCTTCTAATAATTTAATTTTATCTGACTCATCTATATTGACAATTCAGACATACATTATACATTTTAAAGTAGACGACTTTAAAAATCATAGCATGTAATTCGTCTTTAAAAAGACAAACACATGCCATGATGACAGTAAAATTCTCCTGTTAGTCATTCCATAGTAAATTATGAGGGAAAAACCAGGAAAAAACCTCATAATACTATTCCGACATGGTAAGTATTTGGTCGTGCATTTGGTTTAGCATAATTAGAGCCATTTTTTTGATTTTTCTCTTTTTACGATCCATTTCTTTTAGGACTATATTTGAGTTATTCCATTGAACCCTATGATCATTATCCCATGCGTGTTTACATATTTGAGATCTATCAAATTATCTATTTTTAATATAAGATTGATTTTCATTTATTCCAAGATTTAATGGCCTTGATGTTTCACCTAAATAAAACTGCTCGCATTCACAAGGTATTTTATAAGTGCAATTCTTTGTCCTTTCTTGTTCATTGTTAGGTTTGGTTTTGGACAAAATAGATCTCAACATATTTTTTTTGTTTTCGCAACTCAACAATATTGGCAATATCATTTTAAAGTCGTCTACTTTAAAATGTATAATGTATGTCTGAATTGTCAATATAGATGAATCAGATAGAATTGAATTATTAGAAGAATTTTTCACTAAGTAAAAAAAAACAAAATTTGTTTAATTTATTAATGTTTGTATTTTGAGAACAATTTCCGAAGTGGAAATTGAAACGTCAATAAACGTACTTTATCCTTTAATTGTGGCTTATTCCTATTTAAATATTAATAAATTGAAGTGCAGAAAGAATATCAAGATCTGCACATGGAATATCAAAACTATATACAAAGCAGGAAAAATTCACAATGCAATATAGGAGATGAAGAGAATGCATATTGAAATAATGGGAATAACAGAAATGAGATGTCCAGATTCTGGAGAAATACAAATAGAAGATCACAAGGTATATTACTCGGGAAAAAGTGACGGATCACATGAATATGGAATCGGAATAATCGTATCACCCAAGGTTGCCAAATGCGTTACGAACTTTACACCAATATCAGAGAGGGTGATGTTACTACAAGTAGAAGCCAACCCTATTAATATAAACATCATCCAAGTCTATGCTCCCCTGCAGACAAAGTGGAGGAAGAAGCAATTGAATTCTATCAGAACATCAACAGTATTATACAGAAAATTGCTCGACAGGAAATTCTCATCATTATAGATGATTTTAATGCCAAGATTGGAGCTGGAGATAAGACTCAGTACATTGGAACACATGGACTTGGAGTCAGAAACGAGACAGGAGACCTGGAAAAATTCGCAGAAGACTCAGAACTAGTTGTCACCAACACATTTTTCCAATTACCACGCAAGCTGTACACGTGGAAATCCCCTCAAAACAGACCCGGGAGAATTATTAGGAATCAAATAGACTACATTCTAGTAAATAAAAGATTCCGAAACAGCTTTACATCTATCAAGACTTATCCTGGAGCAGACTTGGAGACAGACCACGTTCCACTGGTGGAAGTATTTCGAGTCAAACTCAAAACAGTATAGAAAAGGAAAGCACAATCATACAACTACCTCGGCACCATAATAAATGAAGAATGAACCAACAACCAGGAGATTAGAGATCGGAAAAGCTAGAACCACATTTCAATCGGATGGGGGCCTTCTTCAAAAGGCAGAACCTTTCTCTTAATACAAAAGTAAGAATGCTGCGATGCTACGTCTTTTCTGTCATTTTTTATGATGTTGAATCGTGGACCTTGATCAAAGATATGTGCAGAAAACTGGAAGCATTTGAGATGTGGCTATATCGGAGAATACTTAAGATCCTGTGGACTGACCGAGTCACAAATAAAAAGGTCCTCAGAAGAATGAATAAGAACGGAGAGATACTGGAGAAAGGAAAAATATTTGGGAAACGAGGTCTAGGAAGAAGAAGAACATCTTGGTTAAATAACCTCAGAATCTGGTTCAATACAAGATCTGCTGCAAGAAAAAGAATGCTTCCTTTAACTCTACTTCCTCAATGTTTATTTCTTGCTTTATCGTCACTTCTGGCGTTCTCTAGAAGTCGTGTTTCATCTATTTTGAGAAGCTCGGCCAGTATTCACTTTTTATTTGTATGACTAAAGTGTTTAATTTCTGATTCGTTTATAATAGTTATATGCCTGTTCTGCTTGTTGTGCTCTGTTTGTAAAAAAGCTTTCTTTTTTTCTTCACATTTATTTATATTTCTTAATATCGTACATCTTTATTCACCGATAGTATAGGTGTATTTTCCCATTATTTTCTTCGGTGGTTGTCATTTCAGATCCTCTTTCACGTAAATCATCGTCGAACGATTGATAATCACGTTAAAATTAATTGACCACTATTATTTTACTATTAAGAATAGAAGACGAAGACTCCTTATACACTTTTACAATGTTTTAATGTGTTTTTATTACCTACCAATAAACAATTCAAAAACAAGAATTTATTGACAAAATGCTATTTTTTCTCTACCATTGAAAGTTTCTAAAACATTTGCACTTTTCCTGTATTTTTTTACGAAGAAGTAATGGATAAAATATAGTAGGATACTCGCCTATAAACAATATTGTTACCTTAGTCAATTTGCGACTACCACCTACGCCTGATATATAAAAAATTTGATAACTAATATATAATTAGAAAAACTATTTATTTTTACACATTTCAACATAATCTCTAACTTCTCTTTTGAAAAATCTGTTAATAAGTTTACTTACCTGTCAAAGATTCATCAGTTGGCATAGCAGAACAAAAGTTATCTGACGGTCTCATTTGCGTGTATAAAAAATGATATTCGTGACTAGATATTAATATTTTTGATTTTCTCATGAATATAAATCATCTCCGATGTTAGAATTTGAAAAATACACGATATAAATTAATATCGGAGCAAGGTACCATCATTCCGATTCCCTGTTTTCTAATATCTATGTCAAACACATTGAATTTTTCTTAGTGATGAATCCAGGTCAGGCCTAGTCGAGAGGTATGTTATTTACCGTTTTTCTTGAAGCATTTTTAATTGACAAAAGTCTGTTTTCTTATTTATAAGAGCTGTAAATTTCAGTGCAGACGGAAATTTTAGATATAGACCAGAGAAGTAACGATTTCCTCAAGACATCTTTTGATACAGGTATCAAACAACTGCTTTTGATAAATTTGGTGATAAAAATATATAATAAAGAAAATATACAAAAGATTAAGTGCCATTTTTGCTTATGAACCATGTATAAGCAATGTAATGAAAGATCGCTATTTTATTTTAAATACTAAAAGTGAAGACTGGTAAATTGTATAGAACAGTGACACATTTCTTGTGATAAAGCATAGAAAATCCTTTAAAATGACAGTTTGTAAAATTATTTTTGTTTAATTATTGTAAAAATAGCTTCAAAAGTCGGTTTTTTGAAAATTAATAACTTTTTTAAAAATGCACAAAAGACCTTAATTTCGCGTGAGAATGGGGACAGTGACACAGGTATTCAGCTGCAAAAATTTCAAAAAGTTCACTTAGCAGCATATGCAATAATACATAACTTTACAAACTCTTATTTTTCAATTTTCATTTTTCATTTTCACATTGTTTATACAGTGAACGGCTAAATTATAGAATATTATCATTATTTCGAGAACCGTCGAGGTTTGAGGGAAATCCGACAGGTCGATTTTTGTTATAAAATACCCATCTTATCTTACATGGAGTAGGGATGACGTCACAGGTTTGGGTGTAGTGACGTAATCGTCAATTTTTTTTTTAAATAGAAATAGGTATCTTAATATTGGTCTAAAGCTATTTTCTTGTGGTATTTTAAATTAATTACTATTTAACTGGGAATAAGCCATAATTTCCGAAGTGGATAAAATAAACGTATTTTAACCTTTAATTGTGGCTTATTCCCAGTTAAATAGTAAGAAATCGGTATAATGCGACACCTCATTTGAAGGAGAATTTAATTCTTTATTTAACGATATTACATTTTTAACTAAAATATTTTTTTAAGGGTACAATAACAATTTTTTTTTTATTTAAATTCAACTAAATTACAACTAATGATTTAATTCATAATGTACTTTAAAGTAACCAAATTATACATAACAATTATTTTAAATTAAATGTTCGAAATTGTTTTTGTACTCTTAAAAAATGTTTTAGTTAAAAATGTAATGTCGATAAATACAGAATTAAATTCTCCTTCAAATGAGGTGTCACATTATACCGATTTCTATTAAAAAAAATTACGTCACTACAATAATAATATCAATGCGCAAGCGTCAAGACCAATTTCGATGTCGAAACTTGATCTTGACAGAGCTTGTCTAGTCGAAATCAATTTCTACTTGACATTCCGATAGTAGAGGTCGAGATGAGTTACAGAAATACCGATTCGTACAATTCGTACAAGAGAAAGGAAAAAATTTTGAATAAAAACTTGGAGAATACGTTCATATTCTTCAAGAAGCATGTTTTGAAGTTCTGCAAGACTTTTTGGCTGGCCTGGTTGACTTATAACCCTACGATGAAATTAATCCCAAAGATGTTCTGATGATATTTAGATCGAGGTTGCAGGCTGGCCGTTCTAGAGTTTTAATACCAACTTTCTTAAAGTAATATGTCAGGATTATTGCAGTATGCGGTCGTGAATTATCATGCATAAAGACAAAATTGTCCCCAATAAATATTATCCAATGAAACTACTGCTTCTGCCAAAACATCATCTATATACCAGTGAGTATTCAGGGGGCCATTGATGAAAATAAGTTCAGTTCGAGCTTCAAGTGAGATTCTAGCCCAAACCATGACACCACCACCGCCAAACTTTCTTCTCTAGACATACAAATTTAGACATATCCCAGTGTTGATGTTGTCGAGAAAAAAATAATCGATTCTACAGTGTCTGGGTTGTAATTCGGGAACAACAGCCTGCCTTCTTCTCACTAGCCCTCAACCATTAAGGCGTCTTCTAACCGTTCTCTCACTTACATTTCCATTTTGAACCTCCTGCAGACGGTTTCTTCAGCAACTGCAGTGGCATGGCGATTTCTTAAAAGTTTCATCAGAATAAAACGGTCATCTCTTTGCGAGGTAACTCTTCTACGACCGGAACCATAAACGTCGAAACTGTCAGAAACAAGCACACAAGATAACAGAAAATATTTAATTTGAGATGCAATATGAAACAGTGCAAAACTTCCAATGAATTTTTATTTTCGGAAATTTATAGGGTGGCCACTTTTTTTGCCGCTCACTGTAATTAAAAATACGATTAATTTCTTCGCAAAATTGTCAAAAATATTGGTGTCTGTAATTTTAAGATAATTTTTAATAAACACATTAATTTAAAGCTTTATGTTAGTTTAGATTTAGATACCTAACGCGACCTACGAAAAAATCTGAACTATCAACTGACATGAATAAACTTATCTGACAGATAATACGTAAAATATTTATTTGCTAAATTAAGCACCGAATAAAAAGAATTTTGGAAATCTGGAAGATTAAATTATGTTTATTGTAGTCTGTTATTATGTTCAAGGTTATCGCGAAATCAAAAATATAACCTAAATGTTGTTGTATATTGTGTGTGAGAGACATGGATCCTGTATTAGAAGATTTAATGAAATCGAAGAGTATGATGTTTAATGTTTATAAACTTAGTGCGAGATAAAATATAATATTTGAATGTAACTTTCTGAAATTGAAAATTGTATAATAAAATTGTATAATCAAATTTGACATTAAAACATTAGTGTGATTTTCTTTACAATTAATTAAATATTGGTATGTTACAAAATAAATTTTACGTTTATCTTACAGATAAGTAACCGAAACATAATTTGACGTGCAAAGACGGGTACATTTTATTCTATGAATACATGTCTATCCTCCATATAATTATCTGTGAGATAGGAGTATATGTATCAGGAGATTAAAAGACCAGCCCTTTTATGCACGAAGTTTTTTTTTTAATTTACTTTTTAACTCTTTTGAAAGTTTGTTGATCCTAAAAAATTAGTTGCGAATTTGTTGATCGGTAAAAATATAATACAAAACTCAACGCTAGTATATATATTATAAGAGGATTCATATAAAATGAATTCTAATTACAATAAACTTGCAAAAATATTTTGAGTGTATCAGTTAATTGATTATGTCTTTTGGCCAACTAGAGTGGCAAATTTCATGTACTGATCATATTTTCTCAAATTTAACTTTTTAAGGCCCTACATGTGTACTTTTTTTTACTTAATAACTTTTAATAGCTTTGGATAACTTGATCCATTCAGCCACGATAATGAATTTGGCTACTTGAATTTGTTAATGATGTATTGACCTATTGCATTTGTTAACAAAATAGTACTTCGCATAGAGGTAAATTAAAAATATAATGTAAACATCAGTATTACAAGAATCAGTGGCTTAATAAAAAATCATACATTCATTCGTTCCATTCAATGCCCTAACCAACTTAAAGTAAATATTTAGGATCCACAAGGGATTACATAATATAGGGATACTTTTCACGCTAAGGTGCTTTTCATAGCGACTTTATTACAACACAAGACAGGCAACGGTTAGAAGGTAACTATATAACATAAGGATATACAGAGGGAACAAAGCTAGATTTATACATTCACATTACACTTCCTAAATTTATCTTTTAGTCCTTTTTAAATATTCAAAAAAAATTTGGTTAAACCTAATATTATGACGAGAGATATATAAAATAGAACACTGAGAAAGAGGTATTTGTTTTTTTATCAGATTTTCCAATAGATACTTAATAGCAGCCTCATTCTATATGCACCCGAACATTCAATGATTGATATCGTCAGTGTTACCATTACAATCACAAAGTTCGGTTTCACTTAAATTAAATCTATGAAGATAGGCTTTCACAGTAGCATGATAAACAAGGCATCTAACAAACATTGAATATACTCTTCTATTGAAATGGCTTCTTGCAACAAAAGGCGCAGTAGGTAAAACAGGGTGAATTTTTGTGTAAAGGTTGTTACTTCTGTTCCAAAAAGCATTCCATTAAATTTCCCAGTTTTCTTTTAATTCTTGTTTACGCATCGAGACTAAATCACTTCTATTGAGCCAGCTAATTTCTAATCCGTTTGAAGCCGCTTCTTTAGCAAAATAATCTGCTTTGGTGTTACCCGAGATACCAGCATGTCCTTTTACCCAAATGAAAGAGACTGAATTATTTCTTTCAAGTAGCCTTAGTTGATTTTCTAAAATTTTGACGATAATACTGTTTTTGTATCTAAAGCAGACAGCGCAGATTTTGAATCCGACATGATTACTATTTGTTGATCAGACATTCTTTTCTCAATAGTCCATTCCAGAGCTTGATATATTGCAAACAGTTCTGCGGAATAAATGGAACATTGTTGGATTAATTTAAACTTAATGTGTTCTTGATTGTTTTGGATATATACCGCACAACCAACTCCCAAAATGGATTTTGACCCATCTGTGAAAATCCTATATGGCTTATCAAATTTGGCAAGTTGTTTCTGAAGTTGAATGTCGTTATTATCATCGAAAGTAGGGAAATAAACTTTGGTTTGGGAATAAAAAATATTGAAATTAGATTGGAAGAAATTAGTTTAAGCTGGGATTTCTGGGGAAATAGGAAGAAACATTAGGAAATGCTATAGTTAAAGTTGGAGAATTTTTGTTATGCCACCATTTGTCAACTAAGTTGACACAGATATGTCGGATATTTTTTGCAATAGGTAGGATTGGTTATTACTTTGAGATTTAAGGATAAACTTTTAAAAGCTAAAAAAAGACGTCTTAAATGTAATGAAGGTTCCATACATCGGCTAATAGATTTTCAGTAGGTGTAGATTTAAGTGCACCTAAAACCAAACGTAGAGCTTTATACTGGATTCGGTCTATTTTTTTAAGTCTAGTGTTTGTATGTATATTAACATACACAGCGGAGACAAGAGCTGACACATCTAAAACGAGACGACTGCTACAAACAGAGATGAAAATACTCCGACTAATATCAGGGAAAAGTCTATTGGATAGGGAGAGAAGCGGAAACATAAGAAGAGCATGCAATATAGATGACATAAATGGATGGGTGACAAAACGAAAAAAGGAGTGGAACGAACACATCAATAGAATGGCAGAGGATAGAATAGTACGAATAGCACGAGATAAGTCACCAAATAAACGACTTAGTATTGGAAGACGAAGAAAAAGATGGTGCGACAATTTATGTGGCTAATATCGAAGAAGAAACAGGCTTTAAAGCCTTTATACTAGAAGGAAGAAGAAGAAGTGTTTGTATCAGACCTATATAAAAAGCAACTATAGTCAACAACTGACCTGGTATATGCCCTATAAAACATTAGATTAACCTTAGGATCAGCGCCCCATTGGTGACTACATGTGTACTTGATAATGTTGTTTTAACAAGAATTATTTTAGATTTGTTTACACAGGACAAATTATATGAATTGCTAATTAAAAACTGAAAAATACAGGATATTGTGGATCTGCTATATCTACATTCCAGAGTTTATCAAAAAATTTATAATTGATCCAATAACTTTAGCTCTTACACATCTTTACGAAGATTTGATTTAGATATATTTAATTACTTTATTTAATTTTAGCATACTGCATAATTTGCCTTTTTGTTAGTACATATAATTCGATGTCTAAATTATTCAGTTGTATTATATACGAATAGATAGGAAGAGAATAGTAGTACAAATAATTTGTACAAAATCTTTAATATAAGCGCTACCGATCACTCTTACCAAAAAAAATTGTACACCACTGGAAAACCAAGAATAACACAGAATGGTCATATCAATTTCTTAAAATTTAGTGCCTATAATTTAGATACTAACTATGACTTACTGCGAATTTTGTGAATATTTAAAATCAGAAAATATTAGTTTAAAATTGTAGAATCAAATTAAACAAAAAGAAAATAAAAATATTTCAAAAGAAGCAAATTTTGACTTGGTCAGTTTTTGCCCTAAGCGGATGATAATAGACAGTAGCTAGAATTTAATTAGTTGTTGCTGCGATATAAAAGACAACCTCAGGTTATCTTTTACCCTTTTCGTACAATTCGTCACCTTTTATTTTTGTTTGACCATTATAATATTATTTCTTCAGATTTAGCCATACGGCTCTCTGAGAAATTCACTGTTCCCAGATAACTACGTTATCAAAAGGATTGAGCTCTGATGGAACTCTTCTCGTGTTATCGAGCCCTAGATGAGTTGGTATGCTGGAGTATTTCCCAAAAATTTTCGTGCACATCTGGACGTTGCTAGGAGTACAGCTTTTTGCATAGCCTTGTATATTCAATCAACGCTTGTAGAGATGTTCATTTAGACCCAGTTGTTTTATGTTCTCTAGAAGGTTTTTGGGAATAACACTAGTAGTAGATAAAATAATAGGTACTGTCTGGGTACTTTCCATTCTACATTGTCTCCTAATTTATATTTCTCTTTCTCTATGATCTCTGTACTTATGATTTTTTCGTTGTATTTAACACGCAAATTATTGGTGTTAGGTAATATTATTTCTTATAATTATTATATTTTTTTGACAAACAGTTTGTCTACAACTAATACTATTAAATAACACAATGATTACTTATAAACTTTTATTAAAAAACAATATCATAAATTTAACGGAAATATTTGATACCCACAACAACCATAAATTTTTCAATAAAAAGTTCAGAATCCAAAACTGCTATATGCGCCGCTCGACCAATGAGAGCATTAGCTGTATTGGGCAGGGCGTGGTGGATGTCGTACCTAATCAGTTTCACCTCCTTCTGAGCAATTATTGGAGAAATTATGTTGTGTACCATTTCTCTGAAAATTGTTCCCTGATCTGAAGTGTCTTTCAGTGATTCCTTGCACAGCTCTATTCTGGCAGAATGTAGTGGCACGTATCTGCGGAATAATAGTATTAGAACGTTTGAAATTATCTTTAATTTATTCTAAATTTTCTGGTGTATTCTAAATACACCAAATTAGATAAGCACGCGTAACGAAATAGATAAATCGTTCGCTTTCACCTTAATGCTTAATATTGTAACGCGGACTAAAATGTTTTTTTTTTATTACAAAAATAAACGATATGGACTGTAATAAACGAGACCCCAAATGATTAATATATCGTTGCCTGAGAATTATACTGTTCCATCTCCTAAAACTCAATTTTACAGTAGAGCGTTTTTAAATTTAATGTAAAATATTTTTGATATTCTTGAAAAATTGTTTTACAGATCATGATCACTGTTTGCATATTAAATTACTTTTTGTTATAGTGCTTTATTATTGCCAATTAAAACAACATTAACATGCAATACGGAAAAATTTATTTGGATATAGAACAAAAGGAACATTTAACTGAAATATTTGGGATATAGAACATGTATAGTGGATATAGAACTAACTAATTCTTAAAATGTTTTATTAGTGGTAACGACAAATTATCAAATAAAAACCAAAATTTATTAAATATATGACCGTAACTTAAACAAAAATACAATTATTAGGTGTACTAAAAAAACAATAATCTTCTATTTCTCGCTACTTTCCTTATTTGTCTATTTCTTTTGTTTTTCTTTGTTGCACATTATACTTGAATTGTGCTTCAAAACAACATTGTAAAACTCTTTATCAACTTCCGGCATGAACGGTATCATCTCTTTGTGAAGCTTTTTCTTTAATTCAGGTAATTTTGGTGTTAAATTAACGAGTTGCAGCACTTCTGGTAAATTATTATGTATTTGACATCGCGTTTTTTTAACGTTTTCCAGTTTAATTTCCTTAAGTGGCCCTTCATATAGTTCACCATATTTTATGATTAAAGGAAATACTTTTTCGTATATCAGATGTTTCACTTTAGTGTAAGGTACATTTCGATAGGATAATTTTTCTGATTCTGCTTGGTAATTTTTATAATCTGCAGTGTTCATTTAAAAAAATTTAAATTTCATTTTCCACGAGTTTGGAATCTTCGTTAAAATTTTTAACAAACTTACGGGGCTCCAAATATCTACATTTTTTACAAATCTTTCTATACAACTATGAGCTGCATCGACTTCTTGTACACAGCTGTGACCCGGTTCACCAAATTTCTGTTCTATTATTTTTATCTGACCTGAAGAATTGGATTGCAAAAAATGTTGCAAAGCAAATGTCATTATTGAATTTTTATTTTGAGGTACACAGCTGTCTGACCATAAAATTAATTTTTCAAGTGCAGGATTATCTAGTACTACTTTTTTAAGTATTTTAATCAACGCACAAGAAATATGAAGTCCGCTTCTACCAGAAATCATTTCATGCCATAAGGCATTATTTATACGATCTTAGTTTTGTCGAAATGAGCAGTTAAATTATAACAAGAAAATTTTGTTTTATAATAAAAATTGCTTACGTTAGATTTTGGTAGCGAAAAAACTTTTTGCAGATCAAAACATAAAACACCAACACATTTGCCCTCGGATGTTTGCCAACAGTAAAAAAGTAATGTTGGCAAACTCTTATTTTAACTCCACATACATAAAAAAATATTGATATGAAAATGTTTTTTTGGTGGTTTCATTGTTTGTTCTTTTTCTTACTGCCAAAATACGCTTCACATGTTTTGAGTAGAACTGATTCTTTTTGTTATCATTAAGAGACCAAAACTGTCTATGAATTATATCTCTTTCGTCAGGAGTAATTTTAGCAGTACACTGTAGTACACAATTTTCAGATCGACATGTCTCTATTTTCACAGATTTCTTTTCCCTGGTCCGCTTCATTGTATCAACGTATTCTTGTCCAGATTGTCGTTTATGTTTTCTTATATTTTGTTTCCAATCTGATGGTCTTCTTTTTCGTTTTCGACTAATCACCGCAGGTTTATTAACTTCTTCGTTAAGATACTCTTCTTCCCCTGCCATCTCAATTTGACTCTCAGGTAACTTTTGTAATTGAAGATTTTTTCTTTTTCTTCATAGTTTTGTGCCAATGCGTCTACTTCTTGCAGTGTGCTAAATTGTAAATTTTATGTATTCATAGTGTTTAAAGTAACCATTTGTAAAACAACAACTTTTCCTTCATTTGGTGTCGCTTTAGGTCCGTGCTTATCTTGAGATGTTTCTTTACTAATGTTTTCTTTTGTCGTTTTCGACATCCTCCGTTATGACATTCGATAATATGCCACAAAGAGCTAAAATAAGATATTATTTAGTGGTATTATTTCTCAAAAAATTTAATGTAAGCTTACTTCCAAACGTCACTAGGACATGAAGAAGGCCTTGTTGGCGACGGTGAAAGTTTTGCACTCATTATAAACTGCAAAAAGAACTTGATTTAAATATCAATGTAGTAAGAAACACATGCAATTCGAATTAAAATTACAAAATTAAAAGGAACGAATTTGAAATATGACCACATTACTTTCTGAAACATTCATGCTAATCCATTGCTAATCCACACCTGTAATACTCTATTCATATCAAAACACATACAACCCGTATTAGTAATTTAATAGTTACAAATACATAATAATGTGTAACATATTTCTTTTTATAATAATTATCAAGATTTTTTATTGATTTGAATAGGTTTAATTACATTTTATTCAATAAAATATCCGTGTCTATGAAAATTTTGAGGTTAGGTAATATTGCAAATTCGTTTAATAAGGATGATTAAATCAACACAATAATATTAAACGTACTTACTTAAATTGTTTCAGGAATACCCACTACTATTTAGTTTAAATACATTTTCTTACTATTCACTTTTTACAAAAAACAATAGATCATTTACCAACATGCCATGATGTACATACACGTACAGTCCGGTATTAAGCACATTATGCGTAATGGATATAGAACACTATAATTCTAGTAACGTATTTATTCTAAAAGTTAAAGAGGATATAGAACAAAATAATTTTAAAAATATTTTGAGGCATACGGGATATAGAACTAAATGTTACTGAAAACTTTTAATTGGTTCTGAATATTATCATCATTTCAATGGATATAGAACAAGCTAATTTTTACAAAAATTTCTATGTATATAACTCCAAACTGCCAAAAAGTGGATATAGAACAGTATAATTCTCACGCGATGATATATTCATTATGGGTGATTTTAACGCCCGTCTTGGCAATGATATAGTTTCAGGAATAAAACAGCGATTTAAACAGTTCCAGCTGAAATTTACATCTTAGTAAATTTGGTGTTATAACCATGTTAAATTTTCTGGCGGTTATATTAAATTGGTGCAGCAGACGTTGTAAATCATCTTTACTCTGAGAGAGTAGTATTGGGTCGTCTGCATAGCAGATTATTTTAAGTTGTTTTTCTCCCATTTGGTATCCTTTTTGAGTTCTTAGTTTTTTTTATTATTTCATCCCTAATCAGGTTGAACACTAGATGACTGAAGGAATCTCCCCGTCTTATCCCATTGCCAGCTTCAATAGGGTCAGTTAGTTCTGCTTCTACTTTTACTGTTATTGTGTTGCTTTGATATATATGTTTGGTCGTTTTGAAAATTCCTTCTTAAGGTCCACAAAACATATATAGCATTTTACTAAAATATTAAGTAAATAACCCCCAAAAATTTAAAATTAAATTTGCGTTTCATATAATATATACAATCACACAGATCAGTGGCGGCTGGTGACTCAAAAATTTGGTAGTTCTGCAGTATTTTTTGGTATTTTTTAATTCAATATCTTTTAATCGTTGTATTTTACAACGAGGCTTTTAGTTTGATATTTTACACCATATATTTATTCATTATATATCTATTAAAAAATAATAAAGAACTTACCGATTTTCTTCTTTTCAAATTGAAGATAAATCCAATTATATCAAAAATAGCAATGGTACATTATGGCATACTTACTAGTAATTGTTTTATAGTTTATGTTTTTAGTAGAGTTTTATCAATAAATACGCGAAACTAAGGAATTTAAACGAAAAAACACTACAAACAAAATCGCCACAACAATAATTGCATTGTAGGGTCGTACGAACTAACTTCACACAGAGCCAAATATATTATTTTTTTTATAAATAAGCTCGATTCGTCGATTTTTTTTTAAAGCAAACTTGTCTATAACTTTTTCATTAAAGTTTGGTATTTCTTAAAAGGCTCTGTTAAATTATTTTCAATTAAAAATTTTAAAAAAGGTATTGCCCCATTAATGTCTCTACAGTCTCTTCTAAAATAAATAACAGATAATTCAGTCTTCAAGCGCTCCCTATCTAAATTTGGATATGACGCGCAAGTCAGGCTTAAATTATCATCTGGGAAATTATCACAATAATTATCAAATTGCTCAGGATAAAGCAATGAAGTTGCAAGTAGGTGATTTTTAAAAGCAAATCTATCATTTGCACAATTTATGATTATATCACAAACTTCGATAGATGCTCTCCGATGATCTACTGGACTGTTATCCTTCCGTAACCTTTTAGTTGGTAATGGTTCAACGCATAAACTAGAACCTTGGTCAATGGTATCATCTATTGAATTTCTAACTGAATTCATGTATCTTTCGAAATCTGTCACCTTTTTATTGATTTCCAAAGGACCTAAAACGGATCCAAACCATCTAAATGAATTTAGATTTTATAAGTAGTGATATTTTTTATTTAATTTTCAAAGTAATTTTGTTTGGATTATTTTGGTGGGTCTGCAGCTTCGCAGCACTTATATACCAACCGCCACTGACACAGATGACGACAAACAGTAAATAATAACAAAGGCAATAATTTTTTTGACCCTTTATATACCTGTGGCTGAGTCTATAATATACGTCATTGATGAAGACTTTGACATAATGTCGATCGAGAAAATACTTACCTGTCCTGGCCAGAACCACACAGGAGAATATTTTTGAAGTGATGCAACGTACTTCGTTGACTCAAACGATATAAAAACGACTGCCTTGGATCGACAGAATCTTTTAGGCATAGTTGCAGAAGCGACCCGGATTTTTTCCACTTTTGCATAAACCACATTCCTGAAAAGTAATATATATATATATATATATATATATATATATATATATATATAATATATATATATATATATATATATATATACAGTAGAAAAAAACTCAGAAAATGCCTAATTATCTCTTAAATGGATGGTCCGAATTGTACAAAAACTGGGAAATGCCTTCTACAATACGGAGATTTCAAATGTATTGCCTTGTAATGTTGCCAGGTTTACCATTTTTCTGATATTAGTTATTTTGTTTCTCTAAATACAAAACTATAGGTATGTTTTATTATTATTATTGTAATCTTCACCTCAATCCAAATTCAACCTAGTCCTAGTCCTAAGACCTTCTAGTCACGAAGGTCTTAAATAAATAAAACTTTTTAGTGCCAAATAGTTTGGAAGTAATTCAGTAAATATCGAATGATGTGATTTTACATTAATTAATAAAACTAATAATAGCTTGCGGTTTATTGAAAAGTTTTCTAAAATAAATTGTATTAATAACTAAAGCTGGCAGTTTTTTATGTGTTTTAAAAGCTTTAATAAGCTACAATTAAGATGGTTTTTAATGAAAAAGAGCGAATTACTGTTTTAATGATGAGGGGCTACGGCGATAGAATTATAGTGAAGTAGTCAACTTCATCAATGATACTTTAGCTAACTATTCTCCTATCCATAAGCTGACGTTATAAAAAATTGTAAAGCGCTTTGAGAAAACTGGACGAGTAAAATGACATTCCAATGTAGATTAAAAACTGTTATAAATTACAATGAAACTTTAGATTTAATGCAGAGTTTCGTTGAAGATCCACTTACATCCTCAAGAAGAGCTGCACTCCTCGCCCACCCGATTTGAACCCAAAAGATTAGTTTTATTGAGGATATTGAAGTTAATAATATCAGAAATATAGTAAATCTGGTAACGTTACAGATATCAAAATTCAAATATTTATGTCGCAAAATAGGTGTATCTCTGTTTTTGTATAATTTAGACCATATGGTGTTGTCAGTTTATTCAGCTTGGGAATATTTTGATAGAATCATTGTTGGGAACATATAATACAAAAATTCCTTATTAATAGCGGAAATAAACTACTGTTAAAAACTTATTTAATTGAAAAAAGAACAGTTAAAAAGGAAGCCTATATTAATCAATTTTGATGAACGACTTTTTATTTTTAATAGTACCTAATCTATAAATGACTAAAAAATTAAAAAATAAACATTTAAACGTTTGTTTTAACTGATGCACTTTCATTTTGTTGATCAACTGCATGTGAATAATTGTGTATTTTAATTACAATTAATATTAGCTATGAGCACGTGCGCTTGATTGTACAGTAACTTCCAGCCACTTCCAGTGGGAGTGGTTGGAAATAGTCTGTTGACGACCAGTGTACAATAGACGACTTCGAGAAAGGAAAAAAAGGGAATCAACATTATTGTCGTGGATATACTAGTTCTAGCATAGTTCCTTAGTTAAACGTGTATTTCTTGATGTACAATAAGTTAAGTTTTAAATTAGATATACACCCTATAAATGGCAACACTGCGCGCCGTCGACCTTCCGCGTCTCTGTTGACCTGTCACCAATAGTTTATTATTATTATAATGTAGTTGTTTCAAGCAATAACGGCGTAGATTTTTAATTTATTTTTATAAACAACATGTCTGTTTATACATCCGCAGAAAAGGTTCAAATAATAAAATGGTTTTATAGTGGTTTTTTGAGGGGAGTCCAATTCTTTGCGTAGGGGAGAGGTAGGTACAGTGAGACGGTCGGAACACTGAGACAAACGCTGTAGAGCTTACCACGTTCGGTATTATAAGGTAGAACTAAATGAACATGCCTATTACCACCTTAAAGTGAAGCAAACAAGAAACCGTTGAGATTCAACAAGAAATGTTTTAGTTATCGCTGGTCATTTGAAGTGAGTGCATCGTAGTAAATATACCGTATCCACGTGGCCGCTGTTTTCACGAAAATTGAAGTTTCTTAGACAAGGTAGGTTATTCTAACTACAAAGTAAACCATTTTACGAAACAATTAAATTAAAACAAACGATTTTTGTACATATTTTATTAGTTTTTTTCATATATTTTTATTAACGATTTTTTAAGGAACAGTGAGACAACACAGCAGATGGAACAGTGAGACTGTCTCACTGTTCTGTTATAGTTGTATAAGCCAGGTCATTTGCAAAATAATTTCTCTTACAGAACGAAGATGCCAAGAAAAAATAAAACAGATCGGAAAATAGGAAGATTCTCTGAAGATCTGATGAGACACTCTGTTAAATTAGTACAAGGTGGCACTTCTATACGGCAAGCAGTACGAATAAAAGAAGTATCTTTCCAAACAGTCCACAGATATGTTAAAAAATATCAACAAGATGAGAACGTCCGTTTATGTCCTAATTACAAAGTAAAACAAATTTTTACTATCGAACAGGAGAACGACTTGTGCGAATATATAATTAAATGTTCTAAAATGTTTTATGGCCTATCAAGAGAAGATACCCGAAAACTGTCATATGAAGCCGCAGTCTACAATAACATAGTGGTTCCAGCAAACTGGCATACTTCAAAAATCGCTTCACTTGCCTGGATGAAAGGATTTCAGAAACGTCATTCCAATAATTTATACCTCCGGACCCCAGAAAGTTGTAGTCTTGCAAGGGCAACCGGTTTCAATAAATTTAATGTTGAAATGTTTTTCAGTAAACTTGAAACCGTTTTACAGCGTTTCCCTGTGTTTGGAGATGGTAGTCGCATCTTTAATTTAGATGAGACAGGAACCGTTACCGTTCAAAAGTCCCAAAAAGTGTTTGCAGAAAGAGGTATACGACAGGTTAGTAAAGCCACAAGTGGCGAACGTGGAACACTCGTTACAACATGCTGTATTGTTGGAGCATCTGGAGTAGCTATTCCTCCTGCTCTGGTATTCCCAAGAGTACACTTTAAAGATTTTATGATAAATGGGTCGCCTCTTGGAACTTTAGGACTAGCTTCAAAAACAGGTTGGATGAATACAGAGTGCTTTGTGCAAGTTGTTAGGCATTTTATTAAGCACACTGGTAGCACTAGAGAAAACCCTTCTTTATTGCTAATGGATAATCATCAAAGTCATTTATCGATTGAGGCAATCGATTTATGTAAAAATAATGGCGTTACAATCCTGACTATACCGCCACACTGCACGAACAGATTACAGCCGTTGGACGTAGGTTTATTTAAGCCATTTCAGACTTTCTACAATGCTGCAGTAGATGCATGGATGATGAACCATCCCGGTCAGACATTTACAATTTACAACGTAGCAGCCTGTGTGGGCACAGCATATCCACGAGCAATGACGCCAGTTAACATCGCAAGCGCTTTTCGAAAATCTGGAATATTTCCATTTGATCGGCATGTCTTCGCTGAAGAAGATTTTTTGTCAAGTTTTGTGACAGATAGGCCGCTTGTTGCAGTTGAAGCTGCTGCTGAAAAGATAAGTGAATCTCCAGATGTAGAAAATCCAGATCCAAGTCATACTGCTACTACTACTAAAACCTTTGTTAGTCCAACAGTTTTTAAGGGTTATCCTAAAGCTCCGACAAGAAAATCTGTAGACGGCAACAAAAGACGCAAAGGAAGGACGATGATAGCTACGGATACCCCGGAAAAAATGGAGCTGATTAAATCTAAAGAAAAAACACCAAAACAGAAAAAAGTAGCACGGCGCGTATTAGATAGTGATTCTGACGAGCAAGACGAAAATGAGATGGAACTACAAGATTTCAGCGGAAGGAAGGATTTTATTGGTGAAGATCCAGAACCAATTATTTTCGAAGATCTTGATCGCTGTCCAAATGATGGGAATTATGTGCTCGTTGAATTCAACTCTAAGCAAAAGACATATTATGTAGGCAGAGTCTTGTCTCAAATAAAAGAAAATGATTTTAAAATATCGTTTTTGCGAAAAAGCGCTAAATGTGAAAATAGGTTCTTCTTTCCAGTTGTCCCAGACGTCTCACATGTATTAAAAAGAGACATTAAAATGATTTTTCCGCCCCCTTTAATGCAAGGGTTGAGACAACAGTGAGACATTTACTAATTTTTAATTTTTATATTTTTGAGGTTTTAACATTAATTTTTATGAGAAAACGACATGATTTTTCAGTTCTTATTTATATACCAAATATCATTGTACAATATAAGTTTAAAGTAGCATTTAATAAAAAAGTTATTGGCATTGAAATTTTTTCGTCTCAGTGTTCCTACCACTCCCCTACAGTAAATTCATACTATTGTTAAAAATTTTGAGAGTTGTTATTGCCTCAAAAAATGCAGAAAATGTCACGCTCAATAAGTGTCACCAGAAAAATTTGAGGAAAGAGAATACCAGGATACACAAATGTGTGCCACAATCGATGTTGATTCAACGAGTTCCAGTAGAAGCGTTGCTAGAGAATTAAATGTTAGCAATAATACTGTAACGAAAGTATGGAAAAAACACGGTTACAAGAATTTAAAATATCCGATAACGCAGCAGCTTTATGCAGAAGACTACTTTTGAAGAATGGAGTTTTGCGAAACTCTAATGACGAAGGTTAATAATAAACCAAATTTTATTAAAAACATTTTATTCACCGATGAATCTTCTGTTTAATAAGTAGAGAGACATAATCATTCCATTACAAGGTTTTATACGCGGGAAAACTAGCACAGAAGTGTTGTTTACCGAACTCGACGTCCTCAAAAACTTAACGCATGGACTGGCATTTTAGGAGATCATATAATAGGTCCATTTTTATTGAGGGCAACTTGAATAGTAGAGTATACCTCGATTTCTTACAGAATCATGTTCTTCCCGCTATTCTCAATCTTCCTGATGTAAATCTGGAGAATGTTTGGTTTCATCAAGATGGCTGTTCAGTTCACAACGCTCAAATAATTAGGGAGTACTTAAACAATACTTTCCCGAATCCAGTTATTAGTGGAATAGGCAATATTAAGGCCTGCGCGATCTCCAGATCTTACACCTATGGACTTATTTCTTTTTGTACATTTAAAATGTATCTAAACTATGATCATCCTGAGTCTAAAGCCCAAAATTTGGATGAATTAAAAAACCGAGTAAGAGAAGTCTCCAATTCTGTTACAGCAGAAAGTCGTTCATCTCCCCGCAGAAGTTTTTATGACATATTAAGATACTGTTCAGCTGTAGAAGGTCAAATATTTGAATCATTTCTGTAGAGCATAAAGAATGATTTCTTTTCAACACAATTTCAACTAAAGAGTTTCAACAACAATTTCAAAATTTTTTTTTATTTTTTAAAGAAATGCGCTTTTATTTTTAGTTCAACCACAAAAAATTGTTCACATTATTAAAACCAATACAAATGTACCGCTTTATAAAGGTCAGTGTATTTTTATCGAGTTTATGTTATAAGAAATGAACCGGTCATACGTATGAAAACAACACGACGAACTGGGATGTATATCCCATGCATTTTTATATGTTCCTAAATGGTTTTCGTTTTCTGTTTTCTCATTTTCTATCTAGGTGTAGGACGAGAGAGAATTACCATCAAGTAGATCGGAGAGCTAATGTTGCCGATTTTGTAGTGCATAACTTTTGTATGACTAAAGAAGTCGGCGTAACATCTACTGTGAAGTTTATTTAGGAGTACAGAGTCAGAACTTTTTAAGAACGATAAATGTTTTGCAAAATACCATTTTACTCTTTATTATTTCTTATACATACCCATATTAACTAATCCGCTACTGTTGTATAAGGTTCCTAAATGTGGTCCAGAGAGTGATAAGAATGTATGCAGTCTTGGAAGAAGAAATTTCATTTGAGGCCGCGTCAGGGCTGACCTAATTATAATATTACCTAAAGAATGTCCTACAAAACTGATCCTAGTTGGTCGTATACTACAAGTATCTAAATAATGTAGAATTTCGCTAATTAAACTGAAACAAAAAATTACTTTATTTGAAAGCTGTTTTAAAATTAGGTTAGTAAATTTGCTTTAGTTGAGGAATTTTGGAATAATCTGGCAACAACGCCTTTTACTATTTCAATATAGGTTTAAGATATATGAGTATCATTAAGAAGAAGATCAAGTGTAAATAAATATTTTAATAATTGTACATATTTATATCCATATATAACGTCGGCGTCATGTGAAAATTGCGTAAGTCCACTTTTTAAGAAAATCCGTATTTTAATGCCATCTTGTCAAGCAGTTCGAACTGCATAATACTACAAAATATTTTAGTTATTACTTACTAGATGGTGCCACAAGATATGGATTTGAATGTTGCCTAAATCCGACGTTATCTAAAGCAACGTGAATTTTGCGTAAGTCCGCACATTCTACACTGTGAACGTGGTTTAATAACGTGCATCCAGAAATATTGCATTTATCCGTTTAAAAACAAGATGTTTAGTGAAATAGTAATTGTAATTGGCTGTCAAATAGTTCAGGTAAGTAAGTGTAGAAAAATAGGTTCACACGGGCGTGTTTTTTTTGTTAAATTCTTTTAAAACTAGGCATGGGACTTAGGCATTTTTCAGTTTTCATTTCAAACGGAGTTACGCTATTTTCATATTAAAATTTGCTTTGTTGGTTTCGTGCACGTGTTGCGATTTTAGAAATAAAAATAAAGGGACAAACAGAATCAACTTCGAGGTTACTGACTTATTTTTGTTCCCTTTTTATATTTAACCTCCAGATCATTTACTTTCAATATCATAGCACAACCCGTGCATTTAATTCACGCGTGAAACTCGTATAATATATTCGTGAAATACGTATAAATCAGACTTAAATATATATATATTTTTTTCAGAATGAATGAGAGTTCAAGAAGTTTTAAAATACTAAGCAAAGTGACACTTACAAGTGAAGATAAAGATGGTGCTTCCTCGAGCCAACATAAAAACAAAGTAACGGTTATTACTGATGTTAATAAACCCGTTGGAAAATCTGAGCCAAAAGTTGTCATTTTAAGCGACGTTAGCGATAGTTCTTTAAATTCAGATTATTTATCCGATCCATTAAAAAGTTTAAAAGAGTGTATCCAAGCCCAAAAACTCTTAATGTATCTAGAGAAGATTTAGAAGAAAATATTGATCCCAACAAGAACCGGCAGGAAATCATAGAACTAGATAACACTGATATTTTAGATGCCTTTATAGACCTAGATTCTCTAAACAATGCCGATGTAACTATTGAAGAGGTTAACTACAAAAATAATCGAAGATGGGATAATGTTTTGAATAGCGACGAAGAGAAACTAGAAATAACTACCAGTACAAACTTTACCGAAGCTTCTAAAGGCAACAATGCAAATGAAATAAGAAACCCAACTAGTTTTGAAAACAATGTTGATATAAATGCCGCGAAAAAGGAAATTTCCGGATTAAATGATGACTCATTAGAAAAAGAGAGCAGCTCAGAAGCGGAAAAAAATGTTGCTGCAGATAATGATATTAAAAAGCGCAAAAGGAAGAAAAACAGATTAAGCGACTATCAAGACTGGGAGTACAATACCAACAAGAAGAAAAGACAAGAAGGGGCAGCATATAAGGGAAGAAAGGATATTAAATTTTTAGTGCAGAAACATGAAAGGAAATTAAAAATTAGGCGTTCGTGTGAAGAAAAAACGTCGAAAAAAATCACTTTCAAATGTTATAGTTTAAGCGAAGAAGAAAGACAGCAGATATTTAAAAAATTCTGGAGCTTTACATGGGAAGAAAAAAAAAGTATTTGTCAGTGGAAGAGCGATTGCCTCAAGTATCAAAAGAGCCAGAAACCGAAAATCTGAAGGGGAGAGTCGAAGAAAGTGCTCTTTTTCTTTCTTTCTAGACAAGAAAAAGGAAAGAGTAAGGGTGTGCAAAACCATGTTTTGCAACACGCTTGATGTGTCTATGAGAACTATTACTCATTGGTTAAATGGAAGCCTCAATTCACCAGAAACCAAAAAAAGTGATCGAGTAGAAACTACAGAAAGTAATGATTTTGAAAGTAAAGTTACGATTTTTAATTTGCATACAAAGGATGGTTACTGTTTTTTATGGCACGAGGGGAAAGGAGAGTTAAAGGCGAACTGTTTTGCTTCGATTATTTGCACTTTTTTATATACCAAAGTTTTACCAAACATGGATCCAAATAACAAATTTATTATCCTTTACAGTGACGGTTGTGGTGCACAGAATCGCAATTCCATTTTATCGAATGTCCTTTTAAATTTTTCAATAGAAAATAATGTTCGTATTATTCAAAAATACTTAGAGAAAGGTCATACACAAATGGAATGTGATTCTATGCATTCGACAATTGAAAGGAAGATTTCAAGAAGGGTAATAAATGTACCAGCAGACTATGTTAATTTAATAAAAAATGCCAGAAAAAACCCAAGACCTTATGATGTACAAAATCTAAACCATACTTATTTTAAAGATTTTTCTAAAATCAACTTGATCAATTCAATTCGTCCTGGACGTAAAACTGGTGATCCAAAATATTAGAGCATTGAAATACAATTCAGACGGATCCATAGAATATAAGATTAAGCATTCTGATGAGTTTCAGATCCTTCCCGTCAGATTCAATAAGAAATGCTCAATTGTTCCCATGGAAAACCTGCCAAAGCTTTACCAAGATAAATTAAAAATTAAACGGGAGAAATTTGAACATCTTCAATCCCTAAAAGGTACCATGGAACCAGATTACCATCCTTTCTATGATAGTCTTGAACATGATTAGGCTTTATTTTTGTGCGTAATTTTTATTGTTAGTTAATATAGATTTATAATGTCTAGCGTTTTGTTCTTTTTTTAGCGACTAATAAAAAAAATTTAATAAAATAATAATTTTTTTTTTAAATGAAATTTGCGTAAGTCCAAATATTTAACGAATTTTTTTGTGATTTTTGCCTAAGTCCATTAAATTATCCAAACTAAAAGTAAAAGATATTTCTTTTAACATTTCTGAAATTATACTTCAAAACTAACATGACTCAAAAAAAAACTACAAGCATTATAATTACTCTAAGATAAAAACTGTTTTTTTCACCTCCTCTAAAATTTACATTTTGGTACTTACGCAATTTTCATATAATGCCGACGATAAATAAGATATAAATATTTAGAGATGCCGTTAGTGGATTATGATGATCAAAAACTTGTACGAAACCTACACACTGCAGCCTCACAATAATTAGTGTTTTGTTATATTTTGTTTTACACAAATCGAAATATTTGGTAATATTGCAACAAAATCTTACCGGTCAGTCATTGTATCAAAATCACTAAAAGTGTCTCCCTGATTTCGTTCAGACATTAAAAAATCTAAGTAGGCTCCTGGTAGCCCCAACTCCAAGTAGGTCTTGACCAATCGTAGATCAGCTGAATTTCCGTCTAGGCCATGGACGCAGACGATCAGGTGCATGCCCTCTGGCGAGAATATTCGAAACTCGTCGCTGATATGGAAGTATGGAATGGTGGAGGCGAACATATTCATATCTGAGTATAGTAATCCCGGAAAGTTTAATTGACTTTTGAATTCCTTTTTCGCCTTTAGGAAAGTTTTTAGAGAGTCTTTGTCAGCTTTGGTAAAATTAAAATCTGAAATAAATATCAGTATGTTATCGGAATAATTTTTATAAGGATTATAGAGTTGTAGAGTGCACAATCTCGAGGCTGTGGTATAAATTGTACAGTTGTTGTTTGACGTGTCATCATCATGGTGTAGGAGGTCTGCACAATAATTTGTAATTTACTTTAATTTGATGGCAGGTATATGAGCTCTATTAGACAAAATAAGTGTACATAATCATACTAAATCACATTTTAAATGAAACAAACGAGGATTTGTTGTTATTAAAAGTAAAAGATTATATTTTGACGGGTTGGCTCAGGGAAGTGAGTGATGAATCCTTGAAACCATACTTTAAAGATAGAAACGAATTACCAATGGAACAAAATTGCATCCTATTAAGAAATACAGTAGTTATTCCAAAAAAATTACAAGATAATGTATTAGACTTATTTCATGAACAACATAATGACATTGTTCGTACTAAAATGTTGTTACGTTCTTATTGTTGGTGGCCAAATGTCAATGTAATGTATGTCAACAATGTCAAAATTTCACAAATTTAAACAAGGAATTATGTCCGTAGCTATCAGCACCACACAACTTTTACAGAGTATATTATAGATTTCTTCTTCAAATTTAAATACACAATACACATTTTTGATTTTAATTGATCAGAAATCAAAATGTTTATATGTCAAATTAATGGCACATGGCACAGATGCATCAGAGACCATATTAAAATTATAAAATATGTTTACTATAATTGGTCTTCCGGCCGAATTATTCTCAGACAATGGACCTCCTTTCAATTCCAGTGAACTTGTGGCATTTTGTCAAACAAATGGAATAAAACCAGTAAAGACACCTCCACATCACCCTCAAAGTAATGGTGCTGCGGAGCGTAGAATTCAAATAGTAAAGAAAAGTTTGGAAAAGGCCCTGTTGACTATTAGGAGAGAGGAGATTAATAAACAATTAGTCATTCAGAAAATTCAAAACTTTTTATTCTCTTATAGAACAACTCCTTCAACGACTACAAGGATTTCTCCGAGGGAAAGTATTTTTAAAGTTCGTCCTAGAACTAGATTTATTATATTGAAACCTTCTTGCCATAATAGTGTTACGATAAATAATGACTCATAAAACTGTAAATATATTATTTCTAATTATATTCCATTCGAGTATTTTCTAGATCATATACCAGCCGGCAGAAACTTTATTTAATACCCACAGGTCTCCTATTATACCTGCGATTCGAAGTTTCCAGAAGAAGGTCGAATGAGAACCTCTCTGCCTTCAATGGGCTTCGCGAGAGTTCACAAAGGTCACTATCCTTTGAAGGAACACTGGGATAACGGTTGATTAGTATATATGGGACATAAGACTATAATAAATTAGTGTCATTTTGTAAATAAAGACTTTAATAAACTTGTAAGTGTTATAAATGTAGAACCTTAAAGTTAATGAATGTATTTATATTAAAAACAAATAAATAAAATTATGACAGAAAGGTAAGATTATGTAAATTTTAAGTTACTGTTCTTATCTAGTATATAGTAACAATGTACTAAAATTCACGCATCAAATGATATGAGAAAAGATAGAGATGGTGATAGAATCCTAGATTCTGACAAGACCCAAAAGTCAGAAACTCCAAAGTAGTGTGTGGTAATATGCCAGTGCTATGTGACAGTGAATCCAAATTCGAGACACGAATCGGTTCAATTAGAACCAAAGGAACCCATCTCAAGTTCATCACAAGAAGAAACAAGCCCATCTCTACCTAGACATAAAACATCCACGGATTGCAATATTTAAAACGCGCTCTGGAAGATTAGTAAAAGCTCCCATTAAGCTTGATCTCTAACGAGGGAAATATCATATATTAATCCTGCATTGGAACAGTACACACTTCGGAAAAATTAGACAGGCTTGGGTGAGGCTATGTTGTGTCTTATGTCGATGAGCAGCTCCGAATGTCCACGCTGCTATAATTAGTTAAATTATATGTAACCGTTTTATAAGTAAATAAATAGTTAAGTTTTGTAAGTCTGTGCTTCATATACACAACACATATAAGCAATTGAAATGTAAAAAAGATATACCTTCAGTCTCAGTTTGCTGCGTTTTGGATAATTCAAATTGACTTTCAAAATTTGCAGTAGTATCGACTACGTGATATAGAGGGTTATCCACGGCATTTATTTCTTCTTCACTTACATCATTTACACCATTTGTAACGGAACTAGCGGGCGAATCGAGATCCCTGAATTGTTTTGGGGGTGGAAGTGCGAACACCTCGCAAATATTATTTTGATTGAATTCACAGCCTAGAAGCAACGATATTTAAACAGTAATTTATTTTTAAAAAATACTCTAAAATGTAGGTACCCACCTTTAACAAAAATAGAGTCTAAATCATTTTTAATATTCTTAAAATCGTTATTCGAACTATCACTATCTATATAAAATTTGTTTGATTTAAGACGCGTTTTGATTTCATCTTTATCCTTTTTATCTTTACTTTTCTTTCCTTCCAAGTTTGTGAAGAGCTTCTTTTGAACTGCTTCGAAATTCACAGATGAACATTGTGGGATGTTCGCTAAATCAGTACTTGACGCTAAAAATCATAAACATATTAAAACCAATAAAATAAATCACTTTAAGTTTAAACTATAGTATCTTTTAAAGTATTTGATCTGCTGATAATACAATATACTTTCAGATTATCTTTGCACCGTTCACCTGCACTCAGCATAGGATAGACTGGATTCAAGACGTTTCATCTGCGACACAGCATGTCCCAGTCGTTAATAGAGACGTCTTATGGGCATATATAGTATTGTGCGAATTAATGGGATCACAGTGACATTTTTTAACATTCACAATTGGAAAAACTGTCCACACATTTACAACTGACCAAGCATTGAAAACATAGCCCTAGTTTTCTCTGCCTTTTATTTGAGGATGTTTAAGGACATTTCCCAGTAAGTTTATTACGCCTACAAAGCGAAAAAATTATCACGTTAAGTGAACACACTTCAATGCCACAAGGAGAAATCGCAAGAACTTGTGGAGTGAGTCGGGGGGTAGTAAGCAAGATTTTGAAGCGTGGACGAGAAACGGAATCAAAGGATGTGAAACGGTTAGGAAAATGCTGAAAAAAAAGAGAAAAACAACACCAGCAGATAAAAGATTTTTACTTCGAAAGAGCAAATTTTACCCAATATAAACAAGTCAAGAGATCCAACAAGTATTAGCAACATCAAGTGTAGTGTATCAAATGAACTGTTTTTTTTTTCATTAAAACAGCCCATGTTTCCATTAATTCGCACAGTACTGCAGAGGGGGACATAAAAGGAGTCTCCACGTATATTGAGATCAGATGTGAAAGCAATCGGGCGTCCCCTGGAAACAAATAATGTCGGCAATCCTTTCACCACAGCTGCACCAACACAGATACAAACGCAACCAAAACGATCTGTGTCAAGGCCATTTTTGGTGACTCTTTCAATTAATATTTAAGGACTATCACCAAATAAAGAAGATCTACTGTCTAATATGTGCAGAGAATACGGTGTCGATGTCCTACTGGTTCAAGAAACCCATCGAAGTACTGCAAGCCGCAGACCAAAGATTCGAGGTATGAGACTTATACTGGAGAGACCACACGACCAGTATGGTAGCGCAGTCTTCGTCAGACTAGATACCGACATAGTTTCCAATCTTTAACATAGAGATGACATCGAGATCCTCACAGTGGAACTAAAGTCTTGAATTCATTAACAAAACGCCAAAAGCTGACTTTGTTTTTGAGGAACCGGATAACTTTCAATCACAGCGAATAAAATTCATACTGGGTAACTTCAACTATAACAGTATCGCGTGGAGGTATAACGAAACAGACTCCAATGGCTAAGAACTAGAAAATTGGGCTGAAAATGATGCTCAAACTTGTTCGTGGTCCAAAACAGCGTCTTTCAACCGCGGATACATAGCGGGGCTAAATGAAGAATCTAAACCCCCTACTTAAAAGATATAAGCAGCTATATAAAGACGCTCTCTTTTCGGGAGCAACAATACAGACGCGCTGGGAAATTAATTCGTAATCTTGGCAACAATCCCGCCGCCCTTTCACCCAATCTGACAAAAGTCACATCCGATCAGAAAGCCCATCGTGTCCTGACAAATAGTAAGACGACATCAAGGAAGAACAAAGTGAAAGTACAACGAAATATCGACGAAGAAGAGGATGTTCTAGGTACCTCCTTTTTTGTGGAGGAGATGAGAGGTGCGGTCCACCAAATGAAAGATAATAAAGCGGCTGGCCTAGATGATATACGAGCAGAATAAATAAAGCACTTTGGACCAAAAACCCTAGAGTGACTCGTAAAAATGATGAACTGTTGCGTCCGTACATTCCAAATCCCCAAAATCTGGAGGAAAGCTAAGTGGTGGCCCTCTTAAAACCAGGAAAGGATCCGGCGGATACAAAGAGTTTTAGGCCTGTCTCTCTTTTGTGTCACCTTTTCAGATCTTCGAAAGAATGATACTGAACCGGATCTCTTTATCTGTGGATACTAAAATTATTCCTGAACAAGCAGGGTTTAGACATGGAAAATGATGCTGCAGTCAAACTCTTAATCTCACCCAACATATTGAAGATGGGTTTGAACGGAGAGAAATAACAGGAGTAGCGTTCATAGACCTGACTGTCACCTATGACACAGTTAACCATCAACGACTGCTGGTAAAACTCTACGAAATTACAAAGGATTTCGGACTAACAAGGTTAATAAAATGTCTTCTCCACGATAGACGCTTCTACCTAACGCTCCAGTCCAAGAACAGTCGGTGGAGGGATCAAAAAAATATACTCCCATAGTCAAGTGTCCTCGCGCCATTGCTATACAACGTTTACACCAACGAACAAACCAAAAACCAACAAACAAGACAGTTTATTTACGCGGATGATAAAGAAGATACAAAGAATATGTGGAAATAAGGAATACCTGTATAAACACCTGCCAGGCTTCAGTTATGTGTATACATCCACAAAAAATACACAGACAAACATGCATATCTAGACCAAGCTCAAGGCCAAGCTTTATACAAGAGTCCTGGGTATATTAGTTTAGCAAAAGTACCATCAACAATTTTATAGCTGAAAAAAAAAACACATCCAAAGTAGTCAGATAGGTTTTAAATATTTTTAGTTAATACAAGTTTTTAAATAAAGTTTTACAACTGTCTGTGTTTTCCGTTATCATTCTGTCGCCTTGCAATATTGGTCCTTCGAGCCAAATATGAACCAATCTATGAACTATTTTCTTATTTTATTTAAAGACTTCGGTGTGTTAGAAGGTGAAATAAAAGATTTTTAATAGATGACAAGCATTCAGAAATTTTTTTAGAATTTAGACTTTTTTTAATTATTAAATCTAAAGATCCTGCTTTAATGTAACATAATTTCTAACTTTGTATTGTGGATATACAGAGAATGTAATACTAAAAATATTGGCTTACCTACAGAGCTACTTCGGGAAGTTATCCACCCACTTTGTTCAGTTGTACTGGAAGACGAACTGCTATAATACCTCATTTCCGGATACAGCCTTTCTTCCAATTTCGAAGTAATATTTGGCAGTGATTCGGATCCCGATAAAGTATGCGTAATGATCTCTTCAGGAATACAAGAAGCACTTCTAACTTTGCGAATGCAATTGCTCACACCTACAGTGTGGTTTTGCCTCTTCACTTTTACTTTGAGTTTCTCTTTGGGTAATGTATCAGTGGAGCTGCTGCTCTCAATATTATTCCCGTTGGGAAGGACTTTTTTGGATCGCTTTGGTTGGTTTTGGTCGTTCTCAGTTCCGTTTACCATTTTGCCCGATTTGTGGTTTCTTTTGAATAGAAGGGAATTAAATTTGTTGATCCCGTTGCTGATTTTCCTCTTAGGGGAAAACGACTGCACCGAACTAGACCTGAAGATGTTCTGCAGGCCATCGGATGGTGTTTCACTTAAAGACTTAACTATGGTATAATATTGCTCTTTAACGTTAGATAAATTCTTTACTTCAAATTGCTTGTACTTTTTTTCTACATTATATTCTTCAATATTAATATCAACAGAAGATAATTCATTTGTTAAAAACTTAGGACTTTTAGTTTTGTAGTTGTCAAAAGAACAGCTACAAAGATTTTCGTTTTCTTTGTTTAAAAAATATACCCTGTTCCCCATGTTATGTTCACTAGCTACGTTTTTGAGTGTTGGTTCTGTTTTACAAAAGGTCAGTTTCTCTTTTTTCTGACATTTCTTTTGTGCTCGATTGCTTAAAGTGTAATGATAATTATTGGTTGAACACATTTGTAAATGATCTAAGGATTTGCTATGTCGAGCTGGAATTGTAAAATTTAAAGAATCTTCAATATTATATAAATCGGAATTGAGTAAAGTTTTGATGGATCCTAACTTATTTGTCCACAGCTTTCCGATGGAACACGAACAATTCGTTTCGTCCAAGTCTATTTTGGAAGCTTTCGTCCAGACTGAGGATTCTAAAATAAAAAAAGGACAATAAGAAAATTGATCCATGTTTCAGGGTTTTGAGTTAATACAGCTTATTTCAAATCGAGTGGCGAGCCCTTCCACGAAATAGTTAATCGCGACAATAGAATATCTATGACCAGACCCATGCAGTGGCGTTGCAATATTAAACAAATTAAATTATTTGAAATCGCACTAATTACAAAATTATTACTCACTTAAATAATAAATGGAGTTTGATTGTAAACCGATTGTTTTATAGATACCAAACTCTTTGTTTGTTATAATACCATCTTTAATACTTGATACTGTATTAAGTTTGGTTAAAGTTAATTTCTAATTTAGTATTAGTAACCGTAAAACAGTAATTATAAAGTCATTATCAATGACTTCTTAACGACTTGTTAAGAAAGAACTGATAAGAATTATTATTTCCGAGAATTTTTAGTCACTGGATTTCAAACGAGTTCGTAATTTAGTCTCATTATAGGTTTGTTCCAACACAACGAAAAACCGTCACGTAACGGTTACGCTTCTGCACACTAAACAAAATCCGTTCCAACAAAAATATGATCGTTCATCTCATCGTCCTTTCGAGCGTTCCAACAAAAATTGTGATCGCCCAGTGACGGTTTCGTGACGATAATTTCAGTAATCTGGCAAATGCATGTACTGGTTGGGATGACTTGCGCACTAGGATTTTTTTCTACTTCTTTAAATTTGTTGGGCCTAGATTTTATATTAAAACTGTAAATTTGTTCAGAAAAAAAGAAGAAGTTAGGTTGTATCTATAGTATAGTATAGGAATGATTTTATCAGGTGCTTATGATAGACTTGTTATTTATTTATATATTTGTTTTTCGTTATTTATAACTTTATAAATATGACTGACGATGAAGGAATTAGTGATTTTTCTAATTATTATATTAGTGAGGATGATTCGAAGCTATTAGTCAAAGTTAGGGTGAAAAACCAGAATTATTTAGATAGATTGTCACCAAAATATGTCAGTTGTCAGAAAATCGTTCCAACATCAGTTTCCAAATTACCGTCATCAGACGATACAAATGATGAACATGCGCATTAAGAACGGTACAAGTAGTTTCGTGACGGTTTTCGGACCGTACAAAAATTATGTGTTGGAACAAACCTTATGTTGTCGAGTCTCAACAAGAAAGGTGTTACCACGCGTATTAGAACTAAGAACTATTTTGTAGAATGGAGATGGTTAAGTGTAGTATGAGTAAACAGATCAGATTGACACCAGAATCCAAAGGAATAGTTTACAATGTATTTAAGTATATGCAAATACTATTTCCTAAAGATAATCAAACCAGTCTTAAACAACGTATGAGTGAAGCTACTGGAGTATCTTTACGTATAGTAGAAATGATCATTCAACAAGCGAGTATGTTAACAAACGCAGAGTCAAATAAAACACTAAAATTTCCAGCTACAACACTTGCTAAAAGGAAAGCAACCGTGACAGACTTGAGGGAGTATGACAAACAGTTCATTAGAAATACCATTCATCGTTTTCATGAGACTAAACGTTGTCGTGTATCATTGAAGCTTTTGCAGAAAAGGCTTCAAGAGGTGTACGAGTGGACTGGAAGTGTGAGTTCTCTCCAGAGAATTGTGAAATATTTAGGATTTAAATGGAGAAAACAAAAGATATTGTATATGTTGATGAAACCTATGTGCTTGCAAGACACACTACGCCAAATAGCTGGACAGATAACAGTGGCAAAGAATTGTTCAAAAATATTTCAAAAGGAAGTAGGTTGGTTATTGTACATGGTGGTGAGGAGATGGGTTTCATACATAATGCGCTTTTGATTTTTAAGTCAGGAGCTAAGACAGGAGATTATCATCATGAGATGGATTCAGAAAATTATAAAAAATGGATGAAACAACAGTTAATCCCCAATTTGCCTGTTGGATCTGTTGTTGTTACTGATAATGCGTCTTATCATAATGTTCAAATTATTGAAGCACCCACCAGTAATTCTAATAATTGGGTAAAAATCTTGGTTGACAGAAAAACATTAGCCATTTGTAACGTCAATGTTAAAACCGCAATTGTATGAAATCATCAAATGACACAAACAAGATCATATTCAATATACATTTGACAAAGTGCTGCAAGAATGTGGACATGTTTCTTTAAAATTTCTGTCATACCATCCAGACTTGAACCCTATAGAAATGGTTTGGGCGCAAATAAAAAATGAAGTTGCAAAACAAAACGTTTATTTTCAGTTAGAAGACGTAAAAGTGGTGGTGAAACAGAAATTTGGTAGAGTAACTGTAGATAACTGGAAGAAAGTGTGTGAACATGTTGTCAAGGTTGAAGATTTGGAAAGTAAACGTTGCATAGGGTGTAAAGTGCAAAGTGGAAAGATTATTGGTCTGGACAGACGTAGCTGCAGTGGTGGGCTCAATACTGGGCATTGTGTCAAAAGCCTAAGTTTCTCTTAAGGGAGAAGGAATCAGGAATTCTTCTAATCAGGAATTAGGAACGCTTAAGAGAACACCAAAACAAACTCACCAAAAACAACGGCTCTCCACTATCTTTTCATTATCCAAGTAGCTAGAAAAAACCCAACAATTTCTCATCCATTTACCGAAAGGCAACTTTAGGAAGCTACAGAAGCTCAGCTACAGCTAAGTATATCTGTTAAAAGGATAAGAAAAAGACTTCGTGCCCAAAGACTACAAAGCAGTAGACAGTTACAGGTTCCCGAGTTATCGAGGCAGCACAAGATTGATCGCCTATATTGATGTCTTTAACACCAAAACTGGAACATTGGAAATTGGCAAAATGTACTATTTTTAAACGAAACCAGGATTTGTATAAAATCACATGACCGACGAATTTGTTTACTTAGAGGACAAAGAGGACAAGCAATAACGGAAACTGCCAGATGTTTATAGATAATAAGGAGGAAGTGTCATGTTCTGGATAGGCATTATGATCGATAAAAAAAATATTTTAATTTTCATCCAATCAACTCGCAGGTATGTTGATTTGGTTCCAGAATTTGTAGTTAGGCTCTGGCGACGTGCAATTGGAAAAACATTATTATTCATGCATGATAATGCACCTCCACATACCATCAGAGTAACTGCAGACTTTCTTGAAGAAGATATCACTGTTCTGGAGTGTCCTGCTTTCTCACCTGACCTTAACCCTATAGAGGAATTTTGGGTTATGCCTAAAGAAGAACTAGAGCTCGCGGGGATAATCCACAAAACACCGAACAGCTAGTACAAGCTGCTTTTGAAAAATGAAACAACCTACCGTAACAGATTGTTGATAATTTGTTTATGAGCATGCCTACGTGAATTAAGCCGGCATATTATTCGTTTAACATTAAATTTTTTTATGCTATTGACTATAAAATAAATAATTTCAATTTGTTATTTCAATAATTTATTGTTTTCTTTAATTTTGTATGCATTGGTGATTAAATTGCTTTAAAATAAATATTGTTTGAATTCGTTTATTGGTTTTTTAAAATTCATTCGAAATACTAAAAAGTATTAGATGACTCCATATGAGTTTGTTTGTACGTACATTACCACTTCAACTAATTCTAGAGGTCAAGTAACAGTAGGAGTAGGTGTTCAAATACCTTATTGTCCACCTAGATAAAAAGTTGATATTCCTAAAGTACATTGAAGAGACAGAAACATTATCATACCAGAAAAGATTAGTGTTTTTAGAGATGAAGGTATTTGCAAATAATTAAATAAAATACTGACCTGAAGTTTGATTAATACTATTTAATTCAGAGATTTTCTTCTTTGCTTCAAACGGATCTTGGTACTGATCTTCAAATATAACAGGCATCGTAGCACTTTCCCCGTCTAATGTTACACAATGTATCGGTAATGGGGGTAACATTTGCGTATATTTTGATCTGTAAATAAAAATATATTAAAGTTCTAAAAGAAAATTAGTTATAATGTATCTGTCAGCATATTATATCAATTATAAATAACAATATAACTAAGAATAACTTATAAATAAATTTCTAAGATAGGAGACGCAAGGGAAATTATCATTTTGGGAGATCTAAATGGTAGAACAAAAGAATAATAAGGCTCCAGGTGTTGACAACGTCTCATCTAAGCTATATAAATTAAGTGGCGAACACCTAACAGGACAAATGCTTATGAACAACAAAAATGCGAAAATTATCGCGCCATAACCCTCTTGTGCACAGGGTACAACGTTTTTACTTACATACTAAACAAATGACAACAACTAACTAAAAATATTTTCGGGGAATATCAAACCGGTTTCCGACAACGAAGATCTACAACTGATCAGCTATTTACAATGAAACAACGACACTGACGTCCAAAGCATATTCATAGATTTCAAACAGGCCTACGACTCAATTAATAGACAAAAACTATATCAAATATTGCATAGCCTCAACATCCCCCAAAAATACATCCGACTAGTAAAAGCAACAATGGACTCGTCAACAGCAAGTATAAGAGTACACAATGAGCTCACTAAGAACTTTTCAATAGTCAAAGGATTAAAGCAAGGAGCCGACATTATTTAACCTAACTCTCGAATATGTGATAAGCCAGCTGGATGAAAGAAAAGTCCTAAGGAAGATATTTGGACCTATTAACGAAAACATAGTATGGAAATCCAGGTACAACCATAAACTTTATCAATTGTTCAAAAAGGCACCGATCTCAGAACTTGTTAAACTTCAGAGACTTCGATAGAGGCATAAATTGGAAGAAGCCAAGGCTCCATTTGGGTTGTAGCGTTATTGGAGAGAGATAAATTGTAGAAGACGACCGAACAAAAACGTAATCAGATCATATGGAGAACATGTCATAAAAATAATGAGGAACGACTGATCATGGTGTGTGAAGAAAATCTTGTTAATGTGTTACAAATCTTAAATTGATTATTTCAACATCGTTGGATACACATGGGTTCAAAAGACCAGAATATTTTCAGAAGCATCAATGATTCTCCCATGGAAACGACCTTTACTCTAACAGAAGTCGATCATAGACTATATAATAATGAGTCAGAAATCAAAATTTAAGTGCCAAGACTGCAGAGTGAAAAAAGGATCTAACTGTGGGACAGATCACTGCTTTCTTTTAGCTAATCTATTGTATCCCTTTAAACAATAGTACAAACAAAACACTGAAAGTAAAAGAAACAATACTACACAGTCCAAAACGAAGGGATATAAATTGCACCTTTTATTCCAACCAAGTATTACACATCTTTTTCAATCTAGATTAGAAAAGGATCCCAATATGGATGTAGACCCAGAATACAATAACCTCAAAATGATACTAAAAAAATGCTTATGAAATATAAGCAACAGAGAACAACGACAAAAACACCACAAACCACCATGCATGACAGAAAACGTAAACGAAAACGAAATGATACAAGAAAAAAAAAACAAAATATATGAGAAATGGCTAACAAATAAAACATCCAGCAATAAAATAACATATGAAAGGAAAAACGGAGTACACAATCAAATAAAAGAAGCAAAAAACAATTTCTGGGAACAAAAATGTGTCCAAGTTGAAATTTTAATTGGTGGTTTTCAGATTACGGAAGCCTGAAGAACTGTCACTAATCTAAAGGAAAAAAAAGTTGGCCCCAAAAACTTCACAAATGGAAGCCCCCTGGAAGAAGAAAGAGATGTGTACCTCGACGCTCGTGGAATGAAGGAATTAGAAGAGCGATAGAATCGAGAGATTTGAAGCATGCCTTGGACCGAGAGGATTGGCGGAAGAGAACGGGAATACGGCGATAGCCGTCTCCAAAATGTATTGTATTTACAAGTAGAATCCTGTACATATACCTATCAACCTACCTACCGAGATGTATGGGAAGCCTTACTTCAATTGAGAGAGTACGTACTAGAGTCCAACGTGCAAAAATTAGCCATGCCAAAGTTGGAGTGCCACCAATTAGATTGGAGGGTTGTCCTAAGGTATGGTGGAGGAGATTTTTAAAGACACCGAAGTGAAGGTGTTAGTCTGTTGCAATCCGCATAGTTATTGGTGCACAGTGAAAACCGTCCCTTGTCATTTTTATACAACTGTAATTTGTAAAAGAGGGTCCAGTTGCCGATACCAGCATACCGTTTTAGTTCCAGTCCCGACAAGGTTCCAGGAGGAACCATCTTTTAAGAGGAGGGCAATGCTATAAATATGTCTCATAAATATTTGTTTAATTCTGATATGTTCTAGATTTTACCAGCTGGCAGAAATTCCAGGTAATAGATGACGGATCCCTCTCGTCTAAAAAAACTAGTATGGCGTTCGAGATCATTCCCCGCTCAGTTGGAAGACCGGTCTGTTGTGGGATTAGTCGAGAAGGTCGGCTTCCGAATTTCGAAGGGGCTCTCGAATAACGGCAGTTTATATTTAAATAGAAATTTTATGTAAACAGTTAGTCGAAAATAAATTGTTGTATCGAATAAGTAATATAATAAGTTGATATAAATTATTGTGTGTTAGTGAATTAGAATAAGGGAAATAAAGTAAATAAATTAAACTTATAAAAACAGTTCATTATATTACTTTTGGCAAAACTCTGATTTATAAGAGTTTCTAATAAAAAAATAACACTTATGTTTTTTTTTTACTTCCATGAACTTTTTTTGTCCATTGTGATAGACATCCTGTACTGGAAGGGTAGGGGTAGTTAATTTTTTTATGTAAAAAAAATAATTTATAGTGCAACAATACTTTGTATACCAAAAATTAGAATTTTTTAATCACTCTAAAGGGAAGTGATAGTGAAAGGGTTAAGATACTAGATATAAATATAAATAACGCAGTTATATATGTAAATATTTGATACCATGACTAACAAATAATTGGTGAAGGTGAGGATAGATGGTGATAAATATCTAAAAAATTTTTTTACAAAAATTGCAAATAATTTGAATTCTGCAAATAGGCAAATGTTAATGCCAATATAAGAATTGTCCGTGAGAAGGAATAAGTGAGAAAGCCTGCTAAATTTTAATATAGTGTTTATTACCAATATATTCAACTGTTTAAACTATAGTTTATACTTTACCTTCTCGCTATTTCTGCAATAACTAAATAATTTTGGTAGTTGTTGTCGTGACAACCAAACGCAGAACTTCGAGGATTGTATATCAAAAAGAATAATTCGGCGAATCGTCTTACCCTTAAATTGTGGTGTTTCTTACTTAGATACTGTTGAATAGCTATTTTGCAACTGAAAGTTAATAAAAAGTAATTCCACAACTTAATATTTTCGGCACATACTTCGGCAAGTCCAGAATTTTGTTTGTAAGGCCCTTTTTTCATTAACTAAAACATACAAAAAAAATTATAACTTATACAATTATCGACTGTTTAGTGTCGGCGGCTCAAAAGAATAATACTGACTCTGGTACATGCCTAAATGACCACCAATGGATATAAGAGGATGCAATTATTTTAATAATTATAATTAAGGTATACGACCTAAATAAGGCTCGGTTCTAGATAAGGCCCATCTATTGTTTTTATTAAAAAAATTGAATATTTCTTAAGTTTATGTTTTTCTCTGGACGCTACTGGCTTCTAGTGGCTAAATCTAAACTTAAATCGAGTTAAAGTGTAATTACGCCATGTTGGCTTCAAAGGGTGGCTGTGATAGGCAGGCGCTAGGGGCACTGCTCTACCGACCTCCCAATAACATAAAATGGCGTTGTGAGTATATAACTTCGATAAGAAAATTCCTTTCTGAAAATCGTCCGATAATTAAGTCGACGAGACATGGTTTGACACACATTCACCACGACCTAAAGGATTTGCCGATTCCTCCGGTAAATGTAAGACAAAAGCTCCGTCAAATAAAGGGAAAAGGATAACGGTTTTACATGCTGGATCAGAAAATGGTTGGGTTCCAAATGCCCTGTGGCTTTCTGCAAAGAGTATGAGTGAATGACTTCCCGCCTCTCGACGCGTTAGTGTTCTGAGCTGTTGGGCGTGAATCCCTGTCCTGGCATTTGGTTTTCACCTCTGGCTGCGTTGAGTAGTTGAGTTACTGTGACCAAATGTCCATCTTGGTAGTTAGTATTCGCCTCTGGTTGCGTTGAATAACTGAGTTACCGTTGCTAACTACCCATCTTCCTGTCTTTTGTTTTCTTTTTCTTTTTCTTTGTTCTCCTGAAGAAGCTACATACAATTGTAGCGAAACGTCGAGATGAACCCACTTTTGGGTCACTCACAAATGACACGGTCCGAACCCGGAAGCCGAATAAATTATAATTCTGACTCTGGCCGCGGAAGCCTACGATCTCATTTTTGAAGAATGGTTAAAAAATAATCTTATGCCAAATATTCCTCAGAATAGCGTGATAGTAGTGGACTATCACAGTCGCCAACTAAGTAAAGCGAATAATAAAAGGCGAACTCGAATAATAATAAAATGGAAATTCAAAATTACATAGTGTTACGATAATAAATATTATGGCGTATAAAACTGTAAATATATTATGACTAATTCTTTTCTAATTCTAGTAATTTCGGCGCTCAGCTGAAAGACCTGTTACCAGCCGGCAGAAATCTCTAGTCGTTCGCCGAAAGACCAGTCCATAAGTCATCCTGTCGTCTAATGGGTGGAAGGTCATAGATTCATCGCTAAATCTTTCTAGTCTAGCAGCTGAATGAATATAATATAATAACGGAGCTTTCATTGCGGGAGAAGTCAAAAGAAGATATCGCGATTGCGTTTTAAATGTAACGATCGTAATAATAAATTATTATTGTAAGATAAATTATTATAAATAAACTTTAAATAAATTAAGTCTGTAAGTGTTATAAATATTGAACCTTTAGTAAATTAAAATAAGAACAATAAATTAGAATTAATAAAAACATTATAGTGGTGTCAGAAGAAAAGTGGAATAGTGAATAAAATAGTAAAAATGACGACGATTTACGAGCTCACAGTTACGAATTTAAGAAGATATCTCGAGGATAAGAATTAGCTTCTACCGGAAAAAAGGGTGAGTTAGTCCAACGACTAAAGAACGCTTTAGAGGAAGAGGGTTTAGACCCGGAAGCTTATATATTAGAGATGCTGTCATCTCGTCGACTTCGAAATTAGAGAACAAAGGTTCTGACGATAATTTGAAAGTTTCTTCTAATGTTGCCAAAGTTTCTGGTGATGTAGCCAAAGTTTCTGGTGGCATCGCGTCATTAGAGAACAAAGTTTCTTACGATATTTCGAAAGTTTCCGGCGACATCGCTTCTTTAGAAAGCAAAGTTTCTAACGAGATTTCTTCTCTGGAAAGCAAAGTTTCTGCTAACATCTTTAAAGTCACTTCTGAGATGTCTGCCCTCGGCGATAGAGTGTCTTCGTTTAAAAACCAAGTTGCTGCCGATATGTTGGCCTTAATGAAATACGCATAGATTCCAATTGGATTTTAAGAATAAGGTAATCAAAGGTTGTAACGAGGAGGTATTTCTCCATCCACATGATGGCAACACTATGCAAGCAGCGTTAAAGAATATACAGTCGTGCCTGCGAGAGGAGGAGGGCAGGAAAGAGTCCTAGGATATTTTAGCAAAGTTCTCTCAAAACCTGAGCGGAATTATTGCGTCACCAGAAGAGAACTTCTGGCAGTAGTGAAATCAGTAGAGCACTTCTATCAATACCTCTATGAAAGGAAGTTTTTAATCCGAACCGACCATGCCTCCCTTAAGTGGTTGATGCAGTTTAAAAATCCATAGGGTCAGATAGTCAGGTGGATCGAACAACTCCAAGAATTCGATTTCAAGATTGAGCACCGGGCCGGAGTTAGCCACAGAAACGCTGATTCTCTTTCCAGAAGGCCATGCCCAGCAGAGTGTTCCCACTGCAACAAAACGGAATTCAAGGAAGCAGCAGTGCTAAGAACGACGATGGTCAACGACGACTGGAGGCCTACCAAGATAAGAGAAGAACAGGAGAGAGACCCAGTTGTACAGAAAAGTCGAAAATGGAAAGAGGAAAACCGTCGGCCACCTTGGCAAGAAATATCAAACCTGTGCTCAGTAGTTAAGACGTATTGGGCCCAGTGGGACTCATTTATCATGGAAGATGGCTTGCACAAACGAGTCCTGGAAAATAATGACGGTTCAGAGAAGAAAAGATAGTTGGTGATCCCAAAGAGCAGAATAGCCGAAGTACTTCGTCAGTTACATGACAGTCCATCAGGAGGGCATTTTGGTGTAAGGAAACATATTATCAGTTTTAATACTTAAAAGTCCCTACTAAAAACATACAAAAACTTACCTTAGTACTATCATACTCATTGTACTTGACAACTAAAGTATCATAACAGTCGGGAATAGTTTCGTCCCGTTGCTGCAACAAAGACTTGTAATGTTTTATAGTACTTTTGAGATGGTTGCTAGAATCTACTAAAACGCTGTATGCTTCTAAATGTATTTGCGGAGATTCGTTTATTCTGCTATATATCTTATTACTATTCACTGGTAGGACGGGATCCGTTAAAGACGAACATTGTGTCGTTCGTATTTTATTCCAAGACTTCGATTGTTTGGGAGCGCTAAAAAGAGAAGAGAAGTTAACAATTTTTCGGAAAATTGGAAGGAACAATACAAAACATCCCAAAACATCACTTTGTTATTAGTTGAAGCTACTTATTATCATTGCATAATGTCAATAACTCCGTTATACCTTATACATTTAGTCGTGTTCAAGTTGTCAATGCATCATCATTCTCTAATTTTGTTTTGATTATGTTTAAATTTTATTTAATGGTTCTTGTAATTGAAAAAAATATGTCAAAGATTTTTCTTCTCCTAGTTCTATGACCGTTATCCATAGTTGCATATCATGTTGGCTACCATATTCAGTATTGTGACTTTATTGACAGCAGCTCTAAATAGCGATGTAGTAGATTTATTGAACCATTGACTTTACATTTTTTGACCACGTGAATTGAATTGAATTGAATTTTATACATTGTCACTTATCTCCTAGTAGGATAATTAAAGAGTCATAATTTTTTAAAGTTCTTACAGCTCTTAGTTCCTCTTTGCTTATGTCACATAATAATAAACAATCAGAATGTCCACTCTCCATGGAAAATTTAGTACGCGCATCTTGTTCGCGCAGACGTTCCGCAATGTCAATCATAGACATACTACGCAATTATGTTAACATTTAAATTAAATCATTCCATAATCAGTTTAATAAAAAGTTGTTAAAAACAATGTTTGGCCACAGAAACACACTAGAAGGACATCAGTAACAAAAAATCCTCGTGGAATCTCCAAAGGTAAATGCAATAGACCATTAACTTGAGTAATTAATAAAAACTCCAACTGGGGGCATTTACCATGTCCCCCAGGAGCTGGTGAAATTTTGTCGACTTACATTACCTCTGATCTGTGCTGGAGTCTAGGGATAACGTTAGGGCTTGGTAGTGCTTGGTAGACCATTTTATTGTAGTCCACTACCCACTGTCTAATATATTGTTCAGTCTATTTCTTGCATTCATAATTTACGTCGACTTCAGTTGCTCTCAAACTTACATACTAATTATTATAGACAGGTTTGAGTGTGAGATCTGGATTATGCAATCTACATAAAAATATTCTACATAATTTCATATTTCATCAGTTGACGTCCTATAGTAGTGTCAGTTGGACCTTTGGTCAATGCTTAGTTTCATAGAATTTTAAAATGTTCAGATCACATATCCATGATTGTGACTGCCCATCCAAGCTGTCATATGTCACATGCCACCTCAACATTTCCGTTGACCGGGAGCCATTCTGTCTCCGGTTTCCATACATAATGTAGCTTATTTTTACAAATTTTAAAGTGCTTGTCCTTGTATAGTGTAGTGTGATGTTTAATCTTATGTTTATAACATTATATTCTTGTTAAATAGGTCACAATTGACGAAGTAAGTCTAAAACGTTAATCACATAACTTTTATCAACGATCAACTTCGATTTTTTATCGAATTTTATTAATTTTTTTAGTTAAAAAAAAAAACGTTTCTTGGCTTATTTCAGATGCCCCGAGATGCTCTGGGAAGTGAAAGTACTTGGGCAAGATTAAATTAATAAAATTGTGCTCGATATTTGCTTTTTATTTGATCAAAGTTCATTTATTCGAGCATTCAACCTTATATCAATCTATAATATATTAAGCTTATAAAATAATTATTTTGAATTATTTATACATATAAAATTTACAATAAAGAAAAATGGTTTAATATAAAGAGGTGTCGAAACCTGTTAGTTTATTTTAAACAAATTAAAACTAAAGTAATTGTAATAAATTGATGTGCTTACCAACTTTGCATATATCGAAGTAGACCTTTCCTAAAACAAAATTATTATTATTACACAAAAAACGTTTAAAATTAATAGAAAAGGAAATTTTTTGTGTGCAACTTCTTTGCATTTGTTGTAGCCTATGTGTTCATTAAAAAAACTTTTACATAGCTGCATGCAGATGATTAAACAAAAAATTAAATTGACCATGTACTACTCGCCAAATATAGCTTGAGACTTATTTTGCCACCTACGTAGTAAAAAATAAATGAGAACGCACTCGGAAGAAAAGAGATGCATAATGAGCTATATCTCCTCCTCTCAATTGTACCCTGTACAAGTTTACAAAGTGTGAGCTTAATTTGTAAATGAGCTAGGGAACAAGGAATGAGTACAAAGCTTACTGCCCAGGCAATACAATATGGCTTAGTAAAAAAAGCTGAAATCACTGTGTAGCGTTTTAAATTTGTTTTAACTATAAAATATTTATGTATAAAATTTTGTAGTACGCCCATGTCGAGAGGAAATTTTTTCGTTTATCTTTTGCAAAGGAATTTTTAAACGATCGATATATGGCGTTTTAAGTTCCTAGTTCCTAGAAAAACACTTTAAAAGTTAAAACACTTAAAAAGATCACTACACTTACCCCCCGGAGGGAAGTGTAGTGATCGTGATGTCTTGTATTGTCTGTCTCCAAAGATCTATGTTTCTGGCCATTTCTTTTAACTCATTTTTTTAACTTGTTAGAGATAATTACGTGCAAAATTCAAAAGTAAAACTACCAAGAATCGATTAAGGTTTAAGCATAGAAGAATTTTAAAAGTTCGTGATAAATCTAAAATTGCTGTAGAATCTGGATAACCTTAAAAAAGTCAGTGTTGATACGAATATTGTATTAAAGTTTCGTTTAAAGTGGTCGTAATTATAAATACAACAATAGGAGTGTTTGTTTAAGTAAACTTGATGGTGTACGTTACACAGATATTCGTTTGAAGTGACTTCCAAAGGAAATTCAAAGGAAAATCGATAGTTTGTAATCTTATTGCCATCGAAAAGCAAAGTTCGGTGATATATCTTCTTTGTTTACTTCTCAAAGAAAACCGTTCCTCAACAATCGACTTCAATGTATAAAGGAGGTATTAAAGTCACAAAAGGTTAATTTTATGCAGATAATATTGATTTCTTATTTAACATCGACTTAGTGTTAGTAAGAGTAAATGTGTAAAAGTTTTCGTAACAATTAGATAACTATTTTCCCGATAAAAAGGCAAAATCATTTATTTTAGTTATATATATATATATATATATATATATATATATATATATATATATATATATATATATATACAGTGTAGGAAAAATTTTATGGTCGGTATGGTAAAATTTAACAGGATATCTAACGCAGATATAAAATCATATTTTCAGCGAATAGACAAAGATAACAATCATATTTCCCCTTGGTCTCCCCTCCTCAAATATTTTTAACACCTATTGGCTATTAGTGAGACGAATAGTTCCGATCAGAGATATTTTACATATTCTCTGGTTCCGATCCTAATATACCTAAAAAACTAGAGGTGGGTCCTCCCGTTTTTTAAATTTTTATCGGAACCGTTTTTCGTAACTGTAACTAGTTGATTCAAATTAGCGAGTACACAAACATATTGGCTATTATCGTTTATGTGTATAAGTATTGAAGTGAAAGAACCTAACGAAGGATATATTTATTATAACTTGAAAAATAAATTAAACAATACAAATAGTACTTACATTTACATTAAATCGTACTTACATTTACATTACACGTTATTATTAAATCGCGAATCGTCTAAATTGACATTTAAAAACAAGTTTTTCTACTTTTCTTGTTAACCCTGTTCTTCTTTTATTTAAAATTAAACCAGATTTTAAACATGTGTTCACAAGGAAAAGATTTTGTTACAATTCTACAATATTTTATGAATATAGTGGCTAAGTTAGGATATACATGGCGATGGTTTTTCCACCACGGTAATGGACAGTTCCAATCTCCGTTCGAAATTTATTGTGGGTAATATATTATCAGACAAATACATGTCGACTTCTTGTATATCTCTCGATACAGTTGTATGTTTAGATGAGTCATGTCCAATTAATTCATCAAAAATACACAATGGACTTAAGTCATCTTTATCAGTTTCTTTTTCTTTCTTTCTCTAACACCAAAATTCAAAGGCGGCCAACTTATTCAGATGAACTTGTTTTCGTGTCCAAGCTTTCAGACCATAAAGAAGAGTAGAGAACACGTAACATCGAAGCATTCTCAGGCGTAGTTCTAACCTTATATCCCGACAACAAAGAAACTTTTTAAGTTTAATAAATGATGTACGTGCTATTTCAATACGTGTCTTAATTTCTTTGGTTTGGTCTACATCTGATGTTATCCATGTTCCTAAGTATTTATAGTTATTAACACTCTTAATTGCAGTATCTTCAATAGTCAATTGGATATTTGTGCAGATTTAGTCATGATCGTGCATTTAGTTTTCTTTAAATTTATCTTCAGTCCGTACTCATGACAGCGTTCATTAAGGCGTTGCATTAGGTTCTGTAAATCATTGTTGTTATCCGTAATTATTACTGTATCGTCTGCAAAACGTAAGTTATTCAAAACTTCTCCATTGATAGATATACCTTCTATTGAGTCTGAGAGCGCTTCTTAAAATACCGATCACTGTAGACATTGAAAAGTAGTGGGGACAGCACGCAACCCTGGCGGACTCCTCTCTGTATTTTGATATTTTCGGTGTACTGGCGTGTATTTCCGTTCCACATCGGTATTAAATAATACAGACTTAGACTTAGACCAAATCTAAATAAAAAACACTGGATTATTTGTTCTCAGCTTTTCCAAATTTTACGGCCGTTTAAAGAAATAACAAGTACAATGAGTGACCAAAAATACTTGGAGGGTAGTTCAGTGATTGTTATGGTACGCGGCCTGCAAGAATCTTGCAAGAAAATTTTAACAAACGGTAACCTTACATCCATAGTATCCGACGTAGTACAATTACTAATATCGGGTTTAGCAAAAATATTTAAAGGGATAGAACAGAGTGGCATATTGTCATTATGTACATTTATGGATTCACCATTTAAAGTGCAGGGTTTTTCTGATAAAAATGAAGATAAAAAAATAAAAGAAAAAGTTAAGAAGCTGGTTACTTCTATAATTAACGAACAAGAAGATTGTACTATTGAAAATCAACCAGTACAAGAAAAAGAAACCAATAAAGATGACTTCAATCCATGGTGTATATTTGATCAATTAATTGGAGATGGCTCATCTACACGTACATCTGTATCGAGAGTCCATTACAACGGTGGAAAAACCATCGCCATGTATATCCTAACTTAACCCCTATATTCATACAGTATTGTAAATGTGAACACATGTTCAAAATCTGGTTTAATTTGAAATGAAAAAAGAAGACGGTTAATAAGAAGTAGGTATAGTAGAAAAACTTATGTTTTTTAATGTCAATTTAGACTATTCGCGATTTAATAATAACGTGTAATGTAAATGTAAGTACGATTTACTATTTGTATTGTTTAGTTTATTTTTCAAGTTATAATAAATATATCATTAGTTTCTTTCACTTCAATAAATATACACATAAACGATAATAGCCATTATGTTTGTTTATGTAGGTACTCTCTTACTTGAAACTACTTTTAAACAATCATAGTTACTTGTTTACAAAAATTTAAATTTTTAAATTCATTCATTTTTTTTGGAATCCTGAGAAAACTAACAAATATTTTTGAAAAATTTAAATGCAGAATAAAAGATTAAATTATTACCGAGGGCCAAAAGTCCCTTAGAATAAACAAAAAGTTTTTTGAATGAGATATTTGAAATTAAAAATCACACTAATTTTTTTTTCGCCCTTATAACTTATTAAAATAAACATTATAGAAGTTTTCAGGGACTTTTGGCCCTCGGTAATAATGTATTGGTTCATACTGCGTTTAAATTTTTCAAGAATATTTATTAGTTTTATCAGGATTCGAAAAAAATGAATGCATTTAAAAAATATTAATGCGAACGCTCTTAACGATAAAATTACCACGACCCACCTCTACTACCCGTTACTCGGTTTTCTGACCAGACGGACGACGTTGCCAAATAAATTATTGTGTATGAATATTTTTTAATGTGGTGTTATTGTATGCAGTTTATTATTTCATATTGGGAATAAGGCACAATGTGATTTTAAAATAAGCTTATTTTGATGTTTAGATTTTTAATTCGGAAATCGTACTTAAAATACGAAACATTAATAAATTTTATTTATATAAAACGATTTCCAAAGTGGAAATCAAAATGTTATATTACACTTATTGTAAAGTAAACTTGTGGCATATTCCCAATAAAAAAAAACAGTAAGCTGCCATTTAAATCAATTTCGCCCAAATTGGATTATCTTAGAACATTGTTCAAATGCAAAAAAAAACAACAGGTCAAATAAATCCAATAAGTTTGGCAACGTTGAACTTCCCCTTTCCAGGCATACATGTTTGGCGATATAAAGGGCGGACCTAATATACCTCTCTCTTTCTAAACAGCTGTTTCTCACTCCATCTCACGTAAGGTCCATACCGACCATAAAATTTTTCCTACACTGTATATATATATTAGTATAATGGTAAGGTTAATTGGGTTAGCAGCTGAATAATGAAAGCCAAAGTGTGCTCTTTTCAACGATTTCGTTATATTTCGTTAAATTTCTTTAACATCTTCAGACGAATGTTGTGTGAGGTTGCAGGCAAAAGTGGTATTTGAAAGTTCCCTGTTGAAAAACTTTTTTGAAGATTTTTTTATAGCAAAAAAATAAGTTGTTTGTGTTATATGGTGGCTTGAAAACTCAAACAATACAAGTGCATTTTTGTTATTTTCCTCCAGTGTGATAGTACAATACAAATATTAAAAAACATTGAACATTTAAGAAACAAAACAGTTAAAACACAACTACATATCACATTGTCCAACATAGGACGAAATCGTTGAAAAGAGCACACTTTGGCTTTCATTATTCAGCTGCTAACCCAATTAACCTTACCATTATACTAATTAATAATTGGACAGCTGTGATCATTCTTCGTTTATATATATATATATATATATATATATATATATATTATATATATATATATATATATATATATATATATATATATATATTATATATATATATATATATATATATATATATATATATATATATATATATATATATATATATATATATATATACCTTCTAAACACCACTTCTAGTACAACCCTCTAATAACCAACACTACCCAAAGTAAAATACCGCAATACAAAGTTAATAACTTACTTAACAGAAGGTTGATGTAAGGCAGTCAGTGCTGTATGAACAGTCAATGAGATGGCCGAGAGATGGAAATAATCAAATAAAACTGGCAAATGGTAGTGCAGGCCTTCGATGGGCGACATGTTTAGTTGCAGTGTTCTTTGGGAGACCATCACCATGGAAACGGGCGATGTATCACTAAACCATAGTTCTAAAATGAGAGAGAATTCGGCCCGTTCCAGAGACTCTCTCAAATTGTTCCCGTCGACCAGGAGGTGGCATCTAAACAAATAAAAATAAGTTTAACAATAGACAAAGTACAATTTTTTTAAGTAGATTTGCAACGAAAAATAAACTGGAAGGATTTTGAAAGGAATTAACCTAGAAAAAAAATCATACTGACTGAGATATAAGAAAAACTAAGGGGAAACATTATTTTTAAGGGTGTAAACTAGCTCTTTTTCAAAAAACCAATAAAAGTGGAAAATGAAGATTGTAATAATTTATTTTAATATATTAATTTTTAGTTTTTGATCCTTTTTGACTTATTTCATCCCTTAAAGCATCATCTGTTAATATAGAAGCGGGAAAAATAATTTAATGAATTTTTATCACATTAATTATAATGAATTGGAATATTTTATCGTATTTGAATCAAAGATTTCATATCCCTAATTTTTAACCCTTATAATCATCCTTTACTACAAAAAAAAAAAATAAATGAAAAAATCGTTTAAGGCTGTTTTAGCAGTTAAAGCACACTGCGATGTGAAATGGGCGTATCACTTACTTTTCTACGCTGCTTACGCCAGACCATTTTTACTCAGTGGCGCCGGCCGACGGGTAGTTTAATGACAACAAATGCATTATTCTCCATTCACATTAGTTTTAACATGAACTAACTGACCGTCCGTACGTTCATTAGATTTGACGTCACGAAGGCGATAACGATAAAATAAGCGCCAATGATGAGTAACACATTTCACTATTAGATTTTACTATTTTTTAGCAATTTTCTTCAAAGTTGGAACACGCTTTTCTCGATTATTACTGGGCACAGAAAGGTGGAAAAATATCAACGATTACAGAAAAAAAAAAACTCTTTCAAGTGATGGGCGTAAAAGTTTGTTTATAATAGAACGTTAAACAGTATAATCCAATTTTTCAACAAAAGTTTCAAAAAAATAAAAAAGTAAAACCATCATTTTAAAGGCAACATAATTTAGAATAACGTGTCCAAATTTCAAGACATTTTGTCGTAAAGTAAAGGATAGATTACTTAAACAAATACAACAGAGATATTTGCAGTATTTTGGACAAATTGCTAGAAGAACAGGTGCGGTGGAAAAACTGATAGTCGAGGGTAGAGTTGAAGGAAAGAGACCTGACCTAGGGGAAGATCTCCAAGCCGTTGGGTAGATCAAACAAAAATATTAATTAAGCAAGGGTTACATGAATCTGAACAACTAGCCCATGGCAGGTAACAATTTAGAAAAACCGTGAAAAAACTAAAAAAAAGCCTGATGGCATCACCACATCCCAAAAGGGATTAGGACTGAGGAGGAGAAGGAGGACTTATATATGATGTATTAGGTTTTTAACAGTGATTTCAGATGTTACCGACCTGTGAGGCTCTGTGGTTATGAGAATCATCTCTTCTACTATATTTTGGTATCGTATATCCATGATCAGTAAGCAATTTTGTTTTGTATTGCGCAGCCATTATGATCGTAGTCGAAATCTCTCTAGGGATTTTTAACAAAGTGGTTTTTCTTTACCTTCTAGATTCTTATGCCTTTGACCAAATCACTGATTTCTTTGCCTTAGGCACTAGTTTCTCAGGACAAAAGAATATCCTGCCACCTACCAACTTATCCGCTGTCCGCTGAAGTCGTTGGTCGGTAAGAGGATTGCTTGTACCAACAATCATTCGGTCTCTATTTAAAAATGGATGTTGACCACCTTCTACCACGTGAAGGTGGAGATTTGATTTTTCTTTCATCGATATTAAGACCTTTCGAAATTTCCTAATTTATCTAAAGCTTTAGAAGACGAATTCAATAAAAATACTCACATTAAAAATTTTACTTCGTAACAATTAGTACAATTTGAAGGTTATATTTACCTGAATAACACTACATCCTTGAGTGTAACCTCTTCGTTTCGGTAGAGTATTTGAAATGGTCGGCAAGCGCCATAATTTCCCAAAACGATCGCTGTACCCAGTCCAGTCGTGACTTCTGGAGTGGTTACTTCGATTTCTACGTTCAATTTTGACGTGACTCGTAAAGCACAGCGGACTTGATACATTCTAAAAACATAGTAACGTAAAAAGTCAATGAAGAATATGCTCTTTAAAAAATAGAGAAAAAATATTTACGTACCCTCTTTGAAATAAGTCAACATTGTAAAATTTAAACAGCTCCACTGAAAATTCTATGGTGGACTGCAACTCACTCATAATATTGAACGGGCCAGTTTTGGTATTTGACTACATTCCTGAAAAAAAATATAATTATTAGAATAAAGTTAATAAAAATAGACAGTCATGAAAAAAAAGGGTAACTATAATCCGTTCACAAATTGTTGAGAGCACGAAATGTGCCTCAAAGTCATAAAACGGTCGTAAAATTTGTATCATCATAGGCCTTCCTGAGGTGTTTATTCATTAAAATTAATGCGTTTTACATTTATTTTCCTTTCCAAAGTGTTTATCAATATTTATAATGTTTTAATACTAATATATTTAGCAAAAAACAATTAAAACTCTCATGGCTAATGTTGGTTATTATATTATATTAATTTTCAATACTAATTTTCTCGTTTAATCACTTTACTAGAAAACCTGGAATTCATATCCGAAGGTACTATTCGTTGCAAGATAATTAAGATGGAATTCCCCAGATTTTTAATATTATAATGGGTATAAAGATGCCGGCTTTGGCAACGTGCCTCGTCTGTTCAGTTTATATTCGAAACTTAACTTGAAAGGGTGAAATTATTACGAACGAAAAACATTTTTTTGTTTAGTATGTTTTTGATCGCATGTAATTTACGGTTCGTTGGTGTTTTCGCGTCTACGGCAGTAATTAGCGTCTCGAATATTTCTTTTGCGAATTATATGCAGTGCGTGAGTGATTTTTCATTCCATATACCTACGAACTACGAACCATATTGTTGCGTACACCAGTAAGTCTGTCTATTCACCAAGAGAGAAGACTATTGTCCTGAATGTTCACGATGCTCTGGTTTCTCAGAATTCCACAAACACTGTTCGCAACATAGCCGAAAGTTGTACCAACATGACTGGCGTAGAGGAATCAACTATATATAGGTTCCTATCAGAAAGAAAAAAACACGGTTTGGCTAACTAAAACACAAAAGAACACTTAAAGAGAGGGAAAAAGCCTATTAAAATTGATGAATTTGCCAAAAATGGTATTTGAAGGAAAATTCATGGATTTTTTTTCAAAAAAGAAATATCAAACCGAAACAAAATTTTACAAGAAGTCAGAGACGACCCGGATTTGCCTCATATCGGACGAACTAAATTGTGGTAAGTTTTAAAAGAATTAAATTTCCGGTGGGAGAAATCAGACCGAAAATCATTTTTGATTGACCGGGTGGAGATAATATCCACTTAGGGTGGAGATAAGGCCAATCTTCTACCAGGATAAAACGTGGGTAAACTCAGGTCATACTCTAGATATTGGTCAGATAAAAATATATTAAGCTCCAGGCAAGCCTTTATGAGAGGTTGGTCTACTGGTATCTCCCCACCTTCTGGCAGTAAATTAATAATTTCTTACATTGTCAGAGAAAAAGGATTTGTTAAGCATGGCTTGTTGGAATTTCAGTCCAAAAGCACAAAAGACTATTAAAATAGATAAATTCAATTATAGTATTAGATAATGCACCTTATCATTCACCACTAGTAGAAATACTTCCAACGACTGCGTGAAAGAAACAGGATATTCTTGACTGGCTACGGAATAAGTATCTACCTTCCGAAGATGGAATGGTAAAAGCAGAACTTTTAATAATTGCCCGGCAACACAAATCTAAGTTCAAGAAATACGTAGTTAACAAAATGGCGGAAAGGCGAAACATCACAGTCCTTAAACTTCCACCCTACCACTGTGAAATAAATTTAATTGAACTCATTTGGGCACAAATGAAAAGTTATGTGTTACATAACATATTAAAATAAACGTTGTAGAAGTTTCCAGGGACTTTCTGCCCTCAGTAATAATGTAATCTCTCATTCTGCGTTTAAATTTTTCAAAAATATTTATTAGTTTTCTCCGGATTCGAAAATAATGGATACAAACACATTGAAAATTTTGCCAGGTGACATTTGGCGCCTTTCCCCTTAATTAAATAAATGTATCTTTTACAAATGGCAAGAAACTTTTTATTTTCAAATAAAATAAAAAAGTTTTATTAAAACAAAAATACAATTTACATAAGTACAATTTAAAAAATACATTTATTTAGTTCAAATAAATGTTTCAATCATATACTCTATGACACTGGTCGGTCATCTGTAACCAAAATACCTTCCTAATCGGATTATAAGGTTGACTGCTGTATTGTATTCCTTCAGATACAAGGTGGGTTAGTCGAAAACATCTTAAACCGTCAGTTTCAGGTTGGTTTTTACTATTATATCGTATTACCTATCCTCTCTGTATTTCAGTTCTCTAATTAGGGTTAAACTTGTAGTGAGCTATCGACAAATTGTGAACCGATTATAGGGTTGCATCGAAAATTGCATATTATTAGTTGCTAGCGGCGTTATCTAACTGCCCCACGAACTACCTGGGCCCATTAATCCCAAGTATCCTGCCCATCGCCGAGAAAGCTGGGGATTATGTCTTAATGACAGGATATTCCAAATTTGATTATATTTGAAAGTAAGAATATAAATATATTATGGTATAGTTTTGTCCGTTAGTGTTTAACTTTTAAATGACGATTCCAACGACTATGTTTAGTCAAAGGGGAGAACTTTTATTAATAAATAATGAATATAAATATTCAAAGGCCCAAGTCTCCAAAGATTGAAAAGTTAGATGGCGATGCATCAAAAAAGGCTGTCAACAAAAAGTTTACACAAAGGAAGATGATAAAAATTACGTTATTCTTGAAAAAGCATAATCATGCTCCAGATATCCACGTGGACCGGCAAATTTATAGTAATTCTACAAAGAGAAAAGCTGTAGAAGATATATGTGAAAGACTTTTAAACATTGTGCACAAGGAATTGAAGAAGAAAAATTTCAGCAATTTACCGCTGACGACGAAAGACATTTCTTGCATTAGAAAAAATATCTATGCTGCAAGACAAAAATCCACACCATCATTGCCCAAGTCACAAGGAGAAGTTCTACAAGTGTTAATGAACTTAAACTTAAAAACAAATACAGGTTAAAACTTATGTTTTTAAATGTCAATTTAGACAATTCGCGATTTAATAATAACGTGTAATGTAAATGTAAGTACGATTTACTATTTCATCATCATCATCATCATCAAGTAGCGCTACAACCCTGGGTGGGTCTTGGCTGACTGTACAACTTTTTTCCAATTTGTTCGCTCTTCCATCAACCTAGGGTCAAATGGAATGTTCTTTTTCCGGAGATCTGCTTGGATGTTATCTCTTCATCGCATTCTGGGACGTCCGAGTGGTTTTTTGCCAGTATGAATCTCCTCCCATACCAGTTTTACCAGTCTTTCGTTATGTAGTCTGTGCACGTGGCCTGCCCATCTTAGTCGCTGTGATTTAATTTCTTGTACAATATCGGCGTCGTTGTAGAGTGCTCTTAATTCGATATTGGTTCTGATCTTATACTGGTTTGCGGTGATGTCATGGTGAGGTCCGAAAATTTTTAAGTATTTTTCGTTCAAAGCGTCTAAGCTTTTCTTCGTTTGCTTTGGTCATGGTCCACGTTTCGCATCCGTATGTTATTACACTAACATTTGCTACGCGCATTGCATATTGCATACGCACTAACTGATTTACTATTTGTATTGTTTAATCTATTTTTCAAGTTATAATAAATATATCCTTGATTAGTTTCTTTCACTTAATATACACATAAACGATAATAGCCATTATGTTTGTTTATGTAGGTACTCTCTTACTTGAAACTACTGTTAAACAATCATAGTTACTTGTTTACGAAAATCAGTTCAGTTGCGTTAACAATAAAAACGTCAACAACCCACCTCTACTCGTTACCACCGTTCCTACTTTGATTCGGTGCTTTGACCACGCGAGACGAGACGTTGCCAAATAATTTTGTATGAAGCTTTTTTATTGTGGCGTCATATGCAGCTTATTGTTTTTATTGGGAATAAGGCACAATGTGATTTTAAAATAAGCTTATTTTGACGTTTAAATTTTTAATTCAGAAATCGTACTTAAAATACGAAACATTAATAAATTTTATTTATATAAAACGATTTCCGAAGTGGAAATCAAAATGTTATATCACACTTATTGTAAAGTAAAATTGTGGCATATTCCCAATAAAAAACAGTAAGCTGTCATTTAAATCCATTTAGCCCAAATTTGATTATCTTAGAACATTGTTCAAATGCTAAAAAGACAACAGGTCAAATAAAACCAATAAATTTGGCAACGTTGAACTTCCCCTTTTTTTATTATATCCACTCATGCATTTTCGGCGATATAAAGGGCGATACCTCTCTCTTTTTAAACAGGTGTTTTTCACGTAAGGTCCATGCCGACCATAAACTTTTACCTATACTGTATATATATATATATATATATATATATATATATATATATATATATATATATATATATATATATAAGAAAAAAGAAGTACTTGTGACTCGTTTGGAAAAAATATAAAACTGTTTTTGATGGGTTGGAGTTAATAAAACGGGCTATTTGTTGACTATTTTTTACTCGAGCTTTCAATTGTGATTACAATTTTTATCAAGAGCTTCTAAAAAATACAAAATATCTTACAAAGTTGAACTAGAAATAGAAAAATTTTTGTTAACTCACCAAATAAAATTAGTTTTTTATATAAAACTACTGCTTACATATTAATTATAAAAAATATTAATAAAAAAATGTCTTATTCTAATAAATGTTTCTCTGAAAAATTTTGATGAAGTTTCTTAAGAAAAAAATTGAATTTGTAAACAAAAATAGAATAGCTACAAACCAGCCTAAATGTCATAAATACTAACTTAAAAATTTTTATTTTTGACATATTGTCAAAAATAAAATTTGTTTAAAAAATTCTTCTTTGTTTAGTAACAAAAAAGAAGAAGATTTATTCACCATTGATAGATGCCCGAAAAAATGTAACAAATACATGGAAAATTCAAAATGTGATATTTTACTGACTGCATATATAAATTAAATAGAAATTATATAATTATAAATTTTGCTTAAATTTTGAATTTCTGACCTTTTGTTTAAATTATTATCACTTTTGCTAATACAAACCATTTCC